AGGATTTTGTTTTCTGCCCCTGGCCCATTTCCATAGGAATTGTCTTTACGGCTCCACCAAAGCAGACAACCCTTTGTTGGTTTATGTTGGTTTGACGGGTTGGCTTCACGCCCGGGCAGGCGGAGGTGACAGCATGGAGCGCAGACATTGGATCTACTGATTCGGCATCTGATGCTGACAAGGAACAAGTTTTCAGCTTTTCATTGAGAAAGGAAATCTCGATATAGTTCACTGCCTGGGAGCTGCAAAAAAAGCTCGTGACCATGCAGGTCCAGCGAATGCCATCCGGAGCATCATTCGCCTCTCCAAGAAGCTGGTGCTTTCCAAAAAGGCGTTGAAGTATTTTGGAATCCCGAACGTGTCCCAGCGAGGCCCAACATCACCGAACATAAAACTCGGAAACAGAAAGCGCCACAGGGTGCGACAAGTGACTGCAATGCTAAGGCCATAACAAATCTTGACAAATAGAGAGGTGTGAAAAATCGTCACTTCAACTTCAACACCTTGATACTGGGTGGATGCTCGAAGTTGGGCTTCCCGCCTTGATCTCTTGACGTCACTGAACTTCATACAACCAAAGGAGAACAAGAACATAAGTATGATCTTGGTATGATCTTGTTCGCCGATGGTTCTACTATTCACAGCAGAGACTGCCTTTATCGAAGAACTAAGGATATATATATATATATATTTAAATAAATAAATATATATATATATATAAGTATAGCCCCGCTCTGACACACATAATCGTTGGATATCACCGGCAACTGCCGCCGGCAACCTATTTGCAACGACGCCTCCGTTTTCGGAGTTGTGATTGTCGTGGAGACAGTGGTTGAACTTTTGAATCATTGCCAGGGTGCTTGTGCACAAGCCTCAATTTGTTTTACGATGTTTCTGGGTTGGATTTTGGCAATTGATTCTTCAGTCAGCTCCTTATTTTCTGGCTCCACTGATCATTGAACGTCAAAGCACGGAGGCTTGAGGCATTCCCGCGGGTCGTGAAAAACATTTCAGAGGGATGGCCCCTGCCAAGGTCCAACGTTTTCATCAGTGAGGTAAAGTCATCAAACGTGACTTGGGAGGCATGTGCATAATGCGGATTTGAATTGCCACATGGGGAGTCGGAACTTCATCGTCGTTCATGGGCACGCATGAGCAGGCCGTTTTTGAATTGAGTTGTTTTTTTACACAAATGATTTGTGTATGTACTTGTTTGCTTTTGTTCTGTTCTCTGTTTGCTTGAAATAATTTGCTGCATTCCGTTGCCCCAAACTAAAACAATGGTTTGTCTTGTTCGATGTCCTAGCCGGAATATAGCTGCATACCAGAAAAATGTGGGTTCATTTGCAAATTGTGGAAACGTTACCATGTCACACATGTGGGCTCATGTTTTGGAACAACTCTTTAAAAGTTCCCTAAAAATGACTAGTTTTTACAGGTGCCAGTATCAATCCATAAATAGGGGTTCATACCTGCATCGCAAGGATTTCCTTGGTGGAATGAATATATCCCATTTACGATCTTTTGACCGAAACCGCATGTGAAATGCCATCGCTGTCACCTGCAGCTAGATATTCAAGGGCCTCAAACATTACATGGCGAGAGCGGAGACGGGGCTCGTGCCGGTGGGAGGTCTGCGGCAGATGGTGCCCCCATTTTTGGGGACCTTGTGGATGGTCAGTGAAGGCTGTACCTATAGACCCTCCAAGTACCTGGAAAAACGGGTCCTATAAGTACTTGTAACTCCATTTGTGGAATGTATAATCCCATCTATAACCAGTTACAACCATTTATAATTGGTAAAGGGCCATAACTGAAGGTCATGAGTTGGTCTATAAATACCTCTTCAACGTGTTTTAATACCGATATATCAGCTGTAAAGGTTCGTAAATCGATCTTGTAGTCATGAAAAGATTTGCCTTTTTTAGTGCGGCCCCACATTGTATAGGGATTCAATCTGAGATACAACCTGTGCAGTTATGACCCTTTACCATTATAAATCGTTTTAACTGGTTATAAATGGGATTACACATTCCGCATGTGGGTTTTTAAGTACTTAAAACTGGTACAGGGCCATAGCTGTGGCAGTTTCAGTCGCTAGAAACTCATGCCGCACGTGCTTGAAATGTGGATGTTGCCAAAGCAAACGTGATTTCACAAAGGAACATGTTCATTGTTTGTTGAGAAGGCTAGGTTAACTATGGTGTATGACAGATACATCATACATTTTTAGGTAATACTGAATTTTCAGGTTCGCCCACCTGTGCATTGCTCTTGTAACAGCTGTTGCACACAAGTAAAACAGACAATAGTTTTCTCAGACCGGATTTTTATTAAATAAGCAGAATCACGGGTTAATACAGTTCAAACCCTTCACCAGTTGTTCTTATGGTTATAAATGGGGCTGGCATTCGGTAAATGGGGTTAACACTGACTTATAGCTGGCAAAGGCGCATTGGGGCAATTCTTCTGAAAACTTTCCCGTTGGCTTTTGCAGACAATGGACTTGTGCATAGGCCTCGTGGTGACAGGATTGTGTTGCCTCATTTATGACACTTAGATGATTTTGGATGCGCGTTCTAAATTATCCCATACCCTTCGTATCTTAAATGCCCCCACAGATGGGCCCTCAAACGAATAGTTCCAATATTCTGTAAATCCGGGATTTCTGCAGGGATGCCAATATTGGGGAGAAGGGATCAGCAGAATCTAACCCCTGCGTCAGTCGCGATTTACCGGTGTCAAAAACATATATCTTCAAAGCTGACTTGAAAAAATAGTTTTGCTTTGTAGCGTGGCTGCTTTTTGGATTGCCCCGCTAAGTACATGTTCAGCACATGGGGCTATAACCCAGCTATTAGGGGGAGCAAGGGCACATGGTTTTCATCCAGTTTTTTTCGGTCCATAGCATTACCCTCTGGTAATTTAACATAGCTATTGGACATGGCCATTTATAGTGAATTTTCCCATTAAACATTGTGATTTTCAATAGTTATGTTAGTTTACCAGAGGGTATCCTCCATGGTTTCAGCGTAATTTTTAAGGCTTGAGATTACCAGACAGGGCCTCCGAGATTTATTTTGACCCAGGGCTCCAATGACTCCAATGACCTTACGCAAGCCGCAAGCAACAGCGACCTCACCATAATTTGTTGATTGCTAGATGGTTTCATCTCCAGTTTTGGGTTGATCAGCTGCAATTATCACAAAACATTGCTTATGATTAGCGGTCAAGTGGTTTGAAATTTGCAAAATACCGAGAGCCCAAACCACCAGTCAACCAGCGGTTGAACGTCCATGTGGTCACCGGGCGTGCTTGGTTTCCACCAAGATGAAGGTTGTGTAATGCAGAGCCATTTGATTCACTCACGTTTCAACAATCAACAATCTCTGAAGGGATGGCAAACTGATTTTTACCACATAGGGGATGCAAAAAAATCACTGCACTAGGCATGGTTTTGTTTCCAACGTCTAGCCATGCTTCCGAAAAAACGATTATTGCCACGACAGTTTCCGGGGCCCCCAAGGAACCATGGGATCCTATTTCCATGATCAATTCTCACATAGTTGCCCTGTTACAGCAACTTTTTCTGCAGATGGGTTCTGGCAAAAACCCATCAAGGGCCTTTGAGGTTCCAACTATACCCCATCATGTCCAACATGTTTCAAATAGGCGTGCTTTATTTATCTTTATTTGTGCGTATGATATGTGTGCAAATAGTATAACAGATTTCACGTTGCAGCACGTATTTGGCAACAACAAATGTCCATTGAACACCTTGGCAAACCAGCAGCGCATCAACATCAAGTGGCAGCCTGGATTAGCTTTGATAGCGGGGTGGATCCTCGTATATAAATGATCAGGCAGGCAGCGGCCCCAAGTACCTAAAATGAACAAATAAAGGGACATCCTTGGAGGTTCAGTTTGGGATGTTTTTTTGGGAATTAATCATGGTGATGCCATCCATAATCGGATGTGGGGGCACTTTTTTTTTTTATCACTTATACCCTCTCACAAGTGGAACTGCACACAACAGTAAAAGGGAATCTTGCATTATCTACCTGCATCAGGATGTGACAGGCAAGAGGTTGACCATCCCACAAAGTGCAACTGGATAACACTAATGCCAATTTTCTCTCTGTTCGATGCTGCTGTCCTATTTCGAACTATGTTGTTGGACAGTTTTCAGCAACACTTAACAACCCTGGGTAGACGTTTGCCACTGGTAGGTTCACGGTCTCGGTCTTACCATCAAATTGGAAGTATAAAGTTTCACTAAGCGTATGCACTTTTCCTACGAGGTATCCAAGAGGACACACGTTTCGAGTTAGTCGCACCGGCTTCCTCCTTGTTGTTTCCATGGGAAGCTAGCTTACATGGGACAAGTGTGTTGTTCTCCAATGACCTCATCATTCTCGCCTGGCTTAGGATGGATAGGGATTGATTTTGTTTTGCTCTTGCACTACGACTGGGGGATTCACAAGTTTATGCAGAATTCAAATCAAAGCCTAGTGCGCAACAACTTGTCCCATGGGTACCCAGGGTTTGCTTCAGAAGCAAAAGTCAGCATGGGAAAACATCACCAAAGTGTCTTCATCTTTCGCAATGCAAGATCTCCAGCCTGCTGCTCTTGAGAAACACCTGCTTCGAGCACACAAGTCCAGGTCCAGTTGCTGCAAAGCATCGGACGAAGTTCATCTAGGATGGGGCGAGCGATTCCGACTTGAAAGCATATGAGGATGCACGAAGTAGCTAGGGGCTGAGAAAGCTAGGCCACGCTGGGCATAGTATACTCCAACCCGAGACGAGCGCGCTTTTTGTGGAACAAACGTTGGCTGCAATGATGGAAACAAAACAAACATTATCTGGTTTCCAATTCGTTTTTGCTGGCGATTGCGGCGTAACAATTTGCTCAGATTGTCTGGCAGTTATTGTTTTAACGTTTTCCCTGTTTCCACCGCTTTGGCGTGGCTGCTGTGCCAACTATGTACCTGCACAGGCGGAGGTGAGCCATGGTCTTGGAGAGTAGATTAGCCCCTGGGACTTGAAGACTCGGGCTTGACTTGAATTTTCTGTCGGCGGAAACCAACCTCGTACATAATCAGGAGGCTTCCATGTACCATCTTTGATCATGAGTCTTAGGGTACATGACGATTATGCCAGCCGACCGCAAACCGTGCTCGTAAAACGCACGTTTTTGTTAGCGTGTGTTCGGAGATCATGATGGGGTGGGGTGGGGTGGGGTGGGCAGGGGGGCATGTTAACGTTCCTTGTACTTCGTACGTTATATGTTGCTACGCTGCAGGGATCTCTGGTGCTCTTGCTGCGGTGATATACATGAAGGGGTGGGATGGGTGGGGTGGGGTGGGGGAGGGGGCCATGTAAACTGTAAACGTTCCTTGTACTTCGTACGTTATATGTTGCTACGCTGCAGGGATCTCTGGTGTTGTTGCTATACGGTGTATGCACGAAGTGGTGGGGTGGGGTTCAAAGAGCAAAGATCTTCTCCTGTATGTGAAATGCTGGCAATGGCGATATGTGAATCTACATATATACTCGGCTCCAGCAAAAACCATTTCAACGCTGAAGCGCCTGCTTTGAAAAGACAATAAAAAGCGCCTATCAGACCTAATGAAAAGTGTCCAAAGCCCTCACGAAACGGGAATTTGGCCAAATTACCGCGCGAGAATTTGGCCAAACTTGGCTCATACAAATGTGCGCTTCGCTGTAGTGAAAACGACATTTTTTTTTAGCACGTTGTTTTTACGAGCACGGTTCCCGGTCTGCCGGGATGATTATGTACAATTTACATGTATGTATCAAAGGTTCAAAACTAGCCATGGACAAGTGGATGGAAGTAAGCCAGTGGAAAATTCAATGTAGGGCAAAGTCATGGTTTTTCTGTTTTCAAATTTGTCTTCCTTACCGTTGGTTGGTGGAACGTGCCAAAACCAAGTGGCAGAGACTGCGTGGCAGCGTTTCGCACCCTTGGTCCAGCCCGTGGCTTGAAACAAACCCATGTGAGACATGCGATCCGTCACTGAGGCAGAACTACTGCAAGGTCAGGCCAAAAAGTTCATCAATGGTTTCAACGCGGAGCATCTGAATTTAGGACTGGTTTTCAGACAGGATAGGGGGTGATTAAGTTTGCTGCCTAGCAAAAAAGGGTGGAAACGTAGATAGTGCCGGCGATACCATGGAATAAACATATTTTGGATGTTCATGGTTCGTTTGTTTGCTAAGATCAAGATGCTGCTTAACTATTAGCTGTTTCCAAGTTAGGCCCAGTATCCCTTTCCAGTGGCCAATCTTTGCAATCCTCCAACCTCAGCCTCTGCCAGGACTTTTGAGTGGTTTCCTGGAACTCAGAAATTTGGCCCGGAAACTTAACCCCCCGGAGCTCGGAGCGCAAGAAACGCAGAGCGTCGTCATATTTTAGATGTCATGGATCAAGTCAGAAAATTGGGACCTGGGTTGTTTGAAGCGATGTTTTTGTTAGTGGGAAATGCAGAATTTTTGGAACCTTTGATATGTTGTTCGGGGATGTTGGGGGTAAATCCAAGTAAACCTTAGCTGGTTGTAGTTGAGTTGATCAACCTCAATGAACTAAGGATGTGATCAAGAGTGGTGCTTGCCCAAGCTAGGTGATATCGGTAGAATAGAATGAACCCCGAGCCCTTCCCCAACTGATTGTTCATCCAGTTTAATACTGGCGATCAAGGCGGCGCCCGAGTTTCAATGGGTAAATGTGTTTTTTCATTGACAAAGAATAAATTTAACCAAAGCAGGAGGGGATTTATAGTTGAGTTGTATGATTTTTCAGTTTCTTCGTGACCAGATTTTCGTGGGTTTTATGGTGCATCAAGTCATATCATCGTTCGTCAGTGTATCAGGAAATTTGGCTAATGCCCAGATGTGGCCACTAGCGGCCTTGGGGATGACCATTGCCCAACTGTCACCTTGGCCCAGAGGGAAGAAACGCCAATAAAAAGTATAAAGCGCCCGCTCGAAGTCAGTGCTCTGAGATTTCTGAGTTTTTTTTTTGGGTGGGGAGGTTCTGCTAGATCAATTTGAAAGCCATGATTTGAGGCCTTGAATCCCGAGCCCTTGGATGAACTGTTCCTGGGCAGCGACCTTCCCTTTGTGGTCAAGGCGTGCTTAGGGATAAGTGAAAGCATTGTTTTTCTGAGGGGGGGCATGTCCAAAAATGTGAATTCATTTCTTTTAATGACATTTGCTCTAAGGAAAATGATTTGTTTAATTGCGGGATTTGGGGAACACGATTCCCAGACAAAGATGCTCCTTGTGGAGCATCGGATGTTCATTCAAAACGTTCAAGAAAGCAAAGGAGATAGCATGTGAAAACAATCATGTTTTGTTTATCTGGACCTGGCCCTGCAAATCACAAAAACTAGGCCATGAATCACTTCCAAAAATGTTACGCAGATACCCCTAAACTATATGTAATTTATCTGTAATTTGTGAATGCTAGTACTAGTAGTTCTTTCAAAATTATTGATCGAGTAATGTTAGGGGAAGACAATGATTTTCTTGCAAAAACACATACGTCGAATTTGTCACACTACTATGTTTTCCGCTAGTGCCTCCATATATGCATACACTTGATAGCTATTTGAAATATAGTATATGCATGTATATGCGACCATGTCTTTGTTAAAATATATGCGCATATACACAAACATCATGTTTACTTTGTACATAACAATCGTTTAGCATACATGCACATGTGGTGGCATGTAATGATACACGCATTGCATCTCGGCCTGCTGTGTTTTTTGTTGACAGGCCGGGACGCTCTCATCGGCGATGCTTCAACTGTTCCGCGGTTGTTCATTTGGCCCACGCAGTTGGTGATGGATAAACCAATTTTCAAGGTCCAATTTTCATGGATGCATCATCAATGATTGAACCCCATCTTATGTTTCTGATCAACATGGAGATGGGATTAGATGAGCTAATTCATGTTAGGACGAACCCAAATCTTTTCAGCCAGAATTCACAGGGCTGCCAGGTTGATTTCAGGTCATGTTGATGGAAGGATAATTTTGTTTCGTTTTGTGACCTGCGGGTGTTTCCCTGGGGGGGATCTTTGAAATTGCATTCCCACTTCGTCAGGCTTGGTCACGGTGTTTGATGATCATAGAATATCATGGATCTGCAATGAATAAGCGGATATTTGAGGTTGCCCGTACCACCTATGGCAAACGCGTCTTTTGTTGTAATCATGTGAGTGTGTCTGTGTGTGTTGGCATTGTCTCATTTGCAATAAAATCAGATCCGTTGCCCATTCTCAAGTCATTCCTGACTAAATGTTTCCTTCCTCTGCGATCCTTGGTTACTTTTTCTGCATTTGGATGCATTTGGTGGTTCAACAACTTGTTGATTGATTACTGCTTAAGAACTTGCCAACAGTTTCACCCAATGATGAGACCCAATGTCATCCATATGCATGGTTTTTGGTGAAACAAACACATCCTCTTTTAACGCTCCCGTAATCAAACGTGGCACTCAAAAATGGACGAATTGATATATTGATTTTCCCATTCAAACCTTCATGTATAGGGGATTTCCCATTGCTACGTTTGATTTCCGGAGGATCAATTCCATTCATGTCGAAAAGAAACCTGGAAAGTACCTGTGAAGATCCCAACCAATAAAAAAAAACAAACCACTTTGATTATGATCGTTATTAAGATCCCATTAAGATCCCATTTCCAGATCATCTTCCAGCAATTTTTCTTGTTCCCCTTTGCTCCACTACTCCAAGGTCGCTAATGCAAGGTGAGTTGGAAATCTTGATCGATGGGCCTGGGGCCCCTGGGGCCCGGCGGCTGTGATTTCGAGTTGATGCGAACAGAATCATCAATATCCATGGGGATTGAATGGGATTTCATTAGAATTTTATTGGGATTTAATTGGATTTAAAGCCCTCTGACCATTTTTGTTCATGGTTGTAATGGGGTTGTCATTCCATAAATGAGGTTTTAAGTTTTCACATGTTTAGCATGTTTTAACTGACTTACAACTGGTAAAAGGGCCGTTTATAACTGTATGTGAACCGGCCGGAAACCTAGGGCTGATGGGGGTGTTTTTTTGGTCGATGTTTCATGTCTGAAGAGTTGCAAAATTGGATCCATGCCCATGCTTATGAACATTTATGAGGCCCAACGAGTCAGCGGCTCAATCAGCCCCTGTCGCTGGGTTTGATGGTGCTTTCTTGGGCAATACCAGCAAAAAACAACCTTTTGGCTCGGTATAACAGAGATTGGGTTTCCACAATGTAGAACAAACAATGTACAAATGGGTCTAGGGTAGGACTGGGCATGATTTTCAACACAATAATTTGGTAAAGCCAATGATAAAGCATTTCCAAAACATCCCAGAAGCACCATGCTATAAACCATCCCCAAATGGTAGGTTTATGGCCTTGGGTTTCCCACATTATTTTTCAACTGTCATGAAAGCGAGCTTGGAATTGGGAACCTGACAGAGCAGGGCCGAAGTTCGATGATCTTATGTCATTTGAGCAACACTTTGACTGTCATGGGTGCGCAATCTACTCATTTAGCATAACCTATAGGAAATCACGTAAAGTGATTTATTTTCTTGAAAACTGGGTGATGTGAAAAACTTGATTCTTGAAATTTATTGCGTTGGCGATGTGTTGCTGTTTTAAATTTGATTCTTGTCGTCCGTGGCCATGTGAATTTTCAGGGTTGGAATTCGACAACAGGGGGACCAGCAAGGGACACATCTCGCCTGGATCAGACTTAATTGCTGTACTCGCTTGATCTTTCTAGATCGTTAGCCATGTGCAACCCGTTGATGCCATAGAAAATCTAATGATTTCTGTTGGAAATGGTTCAAAGTGGTTTACTGACCAGTTCCAGATGTTCAACATGTAGATTTGTTGAACACTCACCAGTTCTACTCTGCTCAATTATGATAATTATCTGGTTGGTGGTTTGGAACATGTTTTATTTTTCCATATATTGGGAATAGTACTCCCATTTGACTTTCATATTTTTCAGAGGTGTTGAAACCACCAACCAGTTTTGATATTATGCAAAAAAACAAGAAGGGATTACTATAGCCTGGATTCTCAGCCCAGCTGCCGTTGCAGGTTGACCCTGGTAGTGGCACCTGCATGCAAATGGTTGACACGAGAAGAGGTGCGGGAAAGGCAAACCTTGGATGGGTAGTGGTTTACTGTTTTGACATAAATTGGGTTTTACACTAAGAAAAACATATGTATGTAAATGTATATGTACATATATATATATATTATATATAAAACTGCATGTGCATATGCATGTATGCGTATATAATCAGTTTTTCAAAATGCAGGATAGGGTATCAAATACCAGCTTTTAATGCCTTTGATGTTGCATCTATACTTGAGCGATGGTTCACAATTTCTATACGAACATTGTTTCAAAACAAGGATTTCACTGGAGATGGTAGTGGTTTTAGGATCGCTAAGATTTAGAATACCATCTGGTTATTTAACATAGCCATGGAAAATCCCTTATAAATTGAGGTTTCTAGCTGGTAAAATCATCTATAAATGGGCCATCTATACCATGGCTATGTTAAATAACCAGAGGGTAACAAGGGTGAAACCAGCACGTTAAATTGGCTTTGAGATTATCAAACGATGGAATTTTCTGAACGTGAATTACCACCGGCACATGTCCAGGTTGGAATTTTTCACTTGAGAAAAATGCTGTTTATTGCACCACCAACCAGTATATATATACCCCCATCAAATCACCATCACATCACCATCGCAGCAGCCTGCTGTACTTCTTGTTGCTCAAGAAACGCGGAGACTGAACCGTTCTTCCGGACAAGTATTGAGACAACATCAGAAAAGGTGTTCCTTTCCGAAGACTCAGAAAGCGGGGGTTTGCCCAGCTCATACAGCGCTGCTATTTGGGCAAGCCAAGTGGTGTGGGGAAGGTGGGGAGTTATGCAAACCAGCGAAGAAAGATAGTTCTTCCGATGGCATCTAAAATCTAGCATGGGCCATGTTTTTCAATGTGAAATGACACACAGTTCTTGCGACTGGTGGGTCAGAAAAAATGTGGTTGATGGACATGTGTTGCTGATTTCCTGTGTAGGCTCTGCAGGTGATAGATTTCACATTGATGTTTAGTAGGGGAACTGTTCTCAATTATAGTAAATTGCCCAGATATCAGGGCGGATTAACATTTGTTTGGAGCAAGACACCTTCCTCTTGGTCCTGAAAACAAGGGCTACTGTCGGAAATCTGAGCTAAACGGCTAAACGCGCCGTAAGAGAATTTAAATTCATGACGCACACACTGGTACACCCTGCAAATTAATTTATTAAGCCCGTTGAGTATATAATCGTATTTCTGGTCGGTGGTTTGGAACATTTTCTATTTTCCATATATTGGGAAGAATTATCCCAACTGACTAATATTTTCAGAGGGGTTGAAACCACCAACCAGTAACAGTATTTAGTTACACTTTGAATCCTAATCATTTCCTGTGAACTAAGCCAGCTTAGCTAACGGGCCGCTAGTTTGGTCGGAAGTCTTTCCTGGATCCCTGGCAAAGACAGCGGCGCTGGTGAATGTTTTTTGTTAATTTGTTTAGCCGTGGTGATTTTTGCAAGAAAATACTGGTTGGTGGTTTGGAACATTTGGATTATTGTTCCATATATTGGGAATGTCATCATGGGGTAGGTCAACCACCAACCAGAGAAAATATGTCGTTGCTAGTGAGTGGTTAATGTGTTTGATTTTTCTGATGGGTGTAGCACCTTCATCCCTTCCCCCACTAAACAACCCCCAAACGAAATCATGGTTCAGAAGGGAAGCCTTCCACATCATATAGAGATTATTCAGGGCGATGTAGGAAAAACTGAGATGAAAATTCATGAAACATTTATGACTTCTTGACTTCACCCCCCTCATGATATTCCTGTTCATCATGATTTAATTCCCAATTTGATAAATCAAATAAACAAACATTGACATGTGTTCCCTGACTTCTGGTTGAACATCTTCATTTGTTTGTTTTCGACGGCTGTGGTGCTTCGGGCGTGCTTCTTTTCGGGCGCCCCCAGTCCGCCGAATCGTCAGGTCTACCAACATCGCACCAATGAGATGGAACGATTAGAGCCCCTTGACCAATGTTGGGAGATCGCTGGGCATTGGAAAGTGGGGTAAATGGGGTAATGAATATTTATTGGGTTTTGATAGATTAATATATATATATATACATTAATTATACTATTAAATATACTATATTATTATATTATACTATGTCAATCTATGAATGTAAAATGGTAATATATGGTAATATGTGTAAATAACATCTATTGAATCCATTGAGCATTGGAGTGGGGTAGATATAACTATTAATTACTGTTAAATATATTACATTATACTATGTAAAATGGTAAATATATGTATGAATAGCATCAATTAGATGGTGCTTAATCATGCTGACTCCAATTGAGGTATAGGTGAAGTGCTTTAAGTTCCAAGATGTTTGTCGGATCTTATCATCTGGGCATTATTTAGTGAACTCAGCAGTAAGGCTAGGATTTGACATGAATTAATCATTCTGACATAGTTGAACACAGTTCGATATGTTTCTGTCGTTGTGACTGGGAAATCCAACTGCTGACCGGTGGGTTCAGATTCGTTTGCTTTTCAGTCTGAATGTCAAGATACCCTCTGGTAATCAAACATGGCAATGGAACATACATCATTTATAGATGATTTTTCCATACAACCTACATTGCCAGGGGATTTCCCATTGACACTTGATACGTTTGATTTCCAGAGGATACTTTTGTTGCTGGGTATTTATATTAGCTTAGGCTGATCAGAATGGGGCTCCCTTCGCGCCCGCGCAGGTTTGTTGATGTTTTGGGGTGCCCTCTCACCATCCAACCTAGGGGTAAATCACATTCCTTTGCAGTAAAACCCCTCATATTTCATGCTTCAGAAGGCTTTTGTTCTCTTTGTTTCCCTTAATGTTTACCCTCTGGTTATTTAACATAGCTATGGAAAATGACACATTTACAGATGATTTTCCCATTAAAACCTCCATTTACAGTGGATTTTCAATAGCTATGTTAAATAACCAGATGGTACCTTTAATTCAACGATTGATTCGGATTTCTGCTGACCTCCCGAAAGGAGCCAACACGTGAGGTTTGTCCACATGCGCAGTCAATCGCAAAGAAGAAGCCTGGAGCGAGAGATGTGTCTCGGTGGGACAGAGGTGTTTTCCATCGTCAGCCCCTTGAAAACTGGATCAACGGGTAAACCTTTGTAAAATTGTATATAATTTATAGGTAAACCGGCAAAACTTATATTTTTCAATTTTTCATGCGCATTGAAACTTGAAACCATCAATCAGGTAAGTTATCTCCAATATAGGTACCCTTTGGTAATTTAACATGGCAATGCAAAAGCACGGCTTCCACTTGTCTGCCTCGCCTAGCACAGTTTTATCATTTGGAGCTATCAAACACCATACACAAAAAGGTGCTCTTTGGCATTGGGTTTAGTATATCGTTCGCATATTTTGGTGGTTGAATATTCGTAAGATGTTTTTTGCTTGACAAAGTTATATGTGGTTGGTTTTGCCACCTTATGTGCACATCATTTTTGGTGGAATCCGGCTTTCCACAATTATGGCCCGAAATATCAGTTATATATATATATAAGTACATAAGAAAAAACACTGTTATAGAATGTACAACCCCAGAGAAATAACCAGTCATTTCACCATTTATAACTGGTATTTCGGGCCATAACTGCAGATACTCCAAAGGTATGATGTGGCCCAAATTGCCCAAATCATCCATTTTAGATTGGGATTTTCCCTTATAAACCATCCATTTTGGGGCACCCCTATGACTACGGAAACCCCCATATTAACCGCCTACAGAAGCCATGGATGCACGGGATGAAAGCAACATTTTTGTGACCACACAAATGGGGGTGATGAAGGGATGGGATTCTACCAATTACCCTCTGGTAAACCGACATAACTATGGAAAATCACCATTTTTCATAGGTAAGTCAACTATATATGGCAATTTTCAATAGCAAACTGTTTGTTTACCAGAGAGTATTTATTTCTTTTTTTGACAACTATGCCTTTTGGCGTCCTGAAAAACTTCCCCTTCCCCAGGTTCCGCAAGCTCTTCTCGGACTACCTGTCCAGGATCAAGATCACGGCCGCTTCGAGTGCAACACAGTTTACAGCAACCCACAATATATATATATATATACTTATTTTACTATATCATGTTATATGTACATTATATGATATGTGTATTATGTATATTTTATTGCATTAATATATTATTAATTCTGTATTACATATATAGATATGATATGATATGTATATGTATATATATATATATATATTTATAAATATGAAATATATAGGGTATATCATACATACAAATAATAAATCTGGTTTTATTTTGTTTATTACCCTCCTTCGATGCCTGGGATGCACATCCAAGCCGTCCCTCCCAAAAAAGATGGTGAATCGCTCGCGATTGATGACATGTCACATTTGTAATCCCCCTTGGACCCAGGGGGTCTAAGGGTAAACCTTGGAGATCCTTGGGTAGTTCAGTAGAACTTCAATGTTTTGCGAATTTTCAACCTATGAAATGGGATACCCGGGATACCCCCAAATCATCCGAAACAAAAGATCACTGTAGTATTGAAACTTATAGTTTGATGAGCCATTTAGGAAACGTCAATATTGACCCAACAAGTTGTTCCTTCCCCCCAAGGATCTGACACAATTTAGTCAGAACAGTGATAGCATGTGATAACAGCAATAATAGAAGAATAGAAACAACAGTTTAATCAACAATAGAACATACTACAATTCAGCCACAGATAGATAGACAGATAGGTAGATAGATAGATAGACAGATAGATAGATAGATAGACATACATATATATATATATAACATACATGTGCCATATGTTTCCCCCAACAGACGAATCCTTCCTATATCAAGTGGGGTGATCCAGAACATATTAAACCCGCTACCAGGTTTGGCAGCTAATTTCACCAAGGTTTATTGTAGCATGATATATCAAACCAGTGAATGGGCTTTATAAACCGACTATAGCCAACTTCTCCTTCATTTTCTGAAGATGATTAGTCACACACACACATATATATATACTATATATGTTTATAGTTTGATATTCGATTTTTCCCGATTGGATATCCATTACTTGTAGGATGTACAGGGGATATGTTTTGCTAAGGGCCCTTCGGTCCCGAAAAACGCCACGCCATGGGTCACCTTCGATTGGTGCTCGGACTAAGGTGAAGAACGTCCACACTCGTTTTGAGGTGGAAGATGAGCTTAGCTCCTTCGGCGCAGGACGCCACCATTGGGTCACACTATTTTTGGGTTGTGAAGGTGGGATTCAACCAACTTCGAAAGCAATGATGCTGGAGAATGGATGGTGAAGCCATGTTTCGTCCAAAATGGACCACGGCTACGATTTGGGATGTTTCTCTTGTTTTTTGGGGCAAAAAAATGGGCTATTAGAGGCCTTGTCGATTTCAGGTGGAACCACTGGTGAATACTGGTGATAGAGACAGGAAGGCTATTGTAACCAAGCTGCTGAAATCTGCTGAATGTTGGGACGAACACAGGGCACCAAACGCATAATTATAGGAAACATCATTGGTGAAAATGGGCGGTTTTCCAGCACAATCAGATGATTTTTGTTGATGTTCCATTCCAGCATTGCCTTGTTCATGATTGAATTCACCCATTTTTTAGATTTGTTTCAATTGGCAGTGCAGATTTGATGCGGCGGAGCCAGGTCTTCATGGACTTTGCTGTTTTGGAATTACGATTGATTTTTTTTAATTGTGTTTAGTCAGTTTAAAAAAGAAAAACAAATTGTTAACGCCAATTGTCAAATTTTGTTTATTTGTTTTTAACATGGAGCATCGAACAATATCGAACATCTTGTTTTGGACACCTCTCGACCGGAGGGGGGGGGGCAGGGCGGAACATTAAATGCAGGAAACTGGTCTTTGTTGGGCACATTATTGCTTTATTCTAAACTGCGATATGTATTGCACTGTTTGTCCTTAGATGTTTTTTTCCCTGTGTGCAAAAAAAATCATCGTTTTTTTTGTGCTTGGCATTTATTTTGAACGATGAATGTTCAATGTGTTTGTCTCTATGATGAAATGGTCGCAGAATTGGGAACCATTGAAACCATCCCTATTGCATCGCGGGTTCCATCACGAAAATTTGCCAACCAAAAAAAATGGAAACATGTCACTGGCATTCAAGTCACAATCCCCATTCAAAATGATAAAGTGGAGATAATGATATGACCATTATCATTCTTATGAATTATCTCTTATTCTCCAATACTGAATGTTCATTTTTCAATTGTATTATTATAATTGCATGATGTTGAATTGTTATCACATTGTTTTAAGGGTATTACAGTATCACATGTTCACTTTGACTATCATTTTCTGTATTATTATTTTTAGTTAGCTTCATTCATTTTTATCACTATTATCATCCAGTTCATGAATTCCATCTAATTGGTTGCTGCCACAATCGCAAAGACGGTGTACTGTCCATGCCTCTGGTATTAGTCGGCTCTTTGAGCATCTTTGGTAGCCAAGTTTGAGTTTCTGCAGTAGCTGTGTGAAAACGATTAGGATTGCGTAGTTTGGGGGAACATTTCGCGGTGCATCTATCGTGAATCTTACCATGTTTTACCTTTGAACATTTCCATTTGATACCCTCTGGTAAACTAACATAACTATGGAAAATCACCCTTTTTAGTGGGAAAATCAACTATTAATGGGCAATTTTCTATGTCGTTTTTGATGTTTTTTGTATGTTTACCATGTCAGGGTATGTTTGCGGATTTTCAACATCCCGTTTCTTGCGGTTCCATTTGTGCGTTTGTACATAACATGTAATGTCAACCCGGGATGAATAAACCCCTAGGTATCCCTAGGCTGTTTAATTGGGAAGGTACTATTAAAGTATCAAATTATGACTATTGGGGGAATACCCCCCCTGATTGATAAAACATGGTTTATTAATCCGGGGTTGACATTATTTATAATATGTATATTTATATGTATTTATCACGTAATAGTTTCAATCGTTGACCCCTTGGAACTCTGATAAATTACTATTCCCATATGTTCCATGGTGCTGGAATATTTACTCACATTTGCCCGAACAAAATCACCCATTTTTGTCGGTAAATATTCCAGCACCATGGAGCATATGGGAACTACGGTGGATGTAGGGGATATATAATTGTAGTTAATGTCTGTCATTTGTTACCCGAGAATCTCAAATAAAAAATTGGTTGGTATATCCCAGATGCTCCATGTATGGCATATTTACCAACATTGGCCCGAACAAAATCACCCAGTCATGTAGGTACATATACCAGCACCATGGTTCGCATTAGTGGGTTATAGGTTTGGTTATAGGCAGAGGTTGGTACATGTCCTAATTGAACATCACCCAAATATTGGGGATATAATCTCCAACAGATGCTTGAAAGTGATGTTCAAAATCCTTCAACATCCCCACCTCCATCCCAGCGCAGTAGGACCTCCTTTGGCTCTGGGTTTGGTCATCAATTCCTGCGATGTCACGCCGGTGCGGATAGAATTGATGGGAAGGACAGGAGAGTTTGCCATTGGAAAATGGTAGGTTAATAATTAAAGGTTCATATGGGATTTTGTAGGACTCAACGGGATTTGAACCCATAGTGTTTTGCAGTAGCCAGATGTCTGTCTCTATATTACTCTAGATGGGATGTTATTTCCATCTGTAGCTGATTTGACCGATACGGTTTGAATGGAATCTAATTAAAATTGATTGGACTTGATGGGATTTAATTGAGTTTAATGGGATTTATCACCAACTTGGTCATTGGTATTCAAGTGTTTTTCATGGGCCAACTAAATGTTTGCGCCATATTACAGCCATAAATAATCCATGAATTCCATATATTGTTTCTTGGCTTAACAGATTAACTCCCACTTGAATATCTTGAATGTCCTTCTGTTTTCATCTGGTTTCAAGCCATTGAAGTGCCACTTTTGCCATAAACAAATCATGGATTTTCCATGGATTTCCAACATGTTGCAAGTGAAATGTGCCATTTCTGCCATGGAACTCCAAGGTCCCTAGCCCTGTTGCCGTTGCGTAGCCGCCGCCAGGTGGCAACGAGATCAACGAGCCCCGGCGCGCCCGACGGGGTCGCCAGGGGCGAGGCGGAGCTCCTACTGGCGGAACGAGTGCAGTTGACACTCGGCGCCGACGTTTTTGAAGCGATTTTTGAAGCGATTTTTGGTTGGCGATCACCAGATCACCAAGCATCTTAGATGGGTAGAAACTGATCCTTTAGTAAACTTTAGTCTTTTGATATCAATGGGATTATCAAACATCATAAATCAACTAACCAAGCCTATAACATGGTGCTGGTATATGTACCTACATGACTGGGTGATTTTGTTCGGGCCAATGTTGGTAAATATTCCATACATGGAGCATATGGCAGATATCAGAAGTTTTTTTTTTTGAAGCGTCGATCCCGGTTTTCACAAGCACATTTTAGATCATTTTAGGCAAAAAAGTATGGATGTTCATCCTCTCATAGAAAATAGTTGGAAACTTTGCTTAAAGCCTGTTAACTATAATCATAGTTCTATTGGAGCTATAGAACTTAGCTACAAATCATCATCACAAATCAACTAACCAAGCCTATAACCCTTCTTTCTCCTTTTCTCCTCCTTCTCGCTCTTCTTCTCAAACTTCCTTTTAAACAATTTACTCTTTTGCTTCCCCAAGTGGGTCCCCATGGCTCGTTTTGACTCGCTTACAGCGGGATTTTTCCAAGCCCATTTGCTTCGTTCAGCTGGCTGAGCCTCTCGAGGCCATGGAGGTCAAAGTGACACCGTAACAATGACGTCAAGACCCATACCCATAGGATCCATGTATGGTATATATATGGTAACATTTACCATCAATATACCCCAATGTTAGCATATATACCATACATGGATCCTATGGGATATAATAGGAATTCTACTATCATAATGGTACACTTTCCAAGATGAACAAGGTACACAGTGACGCACTGGCTAAAATTGTTGGATACGATCGTTTCCAGAAATGGTTGTGGGTATCGCAGTACAGCGACACAGTTCGTTGAGCCATTCCCCGTATGGTTCATAGTAAAACTTCGTATTATCCCTGTGACTAACCACCAGTGGAACAATGGAGTTTCATCCACACTAAATTTCACATTTTACAATCTTCACACACTTAACAATAGAGTAATAAGCAATACTATTGGAATATCGTGTAACAGTCATCAGTACATGGCCAGTTTTCTGCTCCGTCCAGGTGGGGACCTTAGAATGGGCAGTTCGCTAATTACCCTCTGGTAATTTAACATAGCTATGTGGTTATGTCAACATAGCTATGGAAAATCACCATTTTTAATGGGAAAATCCACTATAAATCACCATTTTCAATAGCTATGTTAGTTTACCATAGGGTATACATGATTGTCTCATGATTAATTGCTCACCATCTATGGTGCTGTTATAATATGGTATACGCGTTTACAATCGTTTACGTCTCTGGGTTTTTGGAGTATGTGCAGGTTCTTGGATGGTTGCTTGTATCATTATCGGTTATTTCCTTTGTTTTCACCCATGTGGTAAGCTAGACTCCAAACAAGATTGTTGGTTAAATAATATCCATACTGTATGTTTTTGTTTCCCCATTTTTATTTGTTATTTGGTAGTGTTTTCAAAGATGTTACGTTTGTAGATCACATACTTCATTGGATTGGTTTAAGGGAAAATCTACAGGAAACCATGGTTTTTACCATTAAATATGGGGTTGTCCTGTAAATTTTCCCTTAAACCAACCCAGTGAATACTGTAAACATTTCAGTGGATCGCCTCACAGATTTGTCGGTGTCAGGGTATCCCCGCATCCACCATTTTTGTTTCCCAGTTTTCCCGAAAAAACACATTTCTTTTGGAGCAGTTATGGCCCAAAATACCAATTATACAATGTGAGGCCCCCGTTCGATAGCTAAGTTGGTTTATGGTACTTATAACTATAGTTACTGGGGCTTATAAACCAACTTACATAACTGGGGGGCCTCACATTGTATAAATGGCCCTGAAAAACTGGTTATAAATGGGATCTTGCATTCCACAAAGGGGTTTTTGTTAGTACTTAGAACTGGTAGAGTGCCATAACTCTGGTATAACTGTGGTATACCTCTGTTTCAGACACGGAATTATATTGTTGAGTTACAATATATATATATATACCCACAAAAAGAAACTACTATATTTGCCTATCATATTGCAAGGGAGGATCCCGGATATCCCGGGTGGTATCCGGCGGATTTTCCAGCAACATGCCCAGCACGGCTGTCGTTAGGAAAGGCTTGCTGCTGTATCAAGAAGGTGCGGTGCGCTTCGTTCGGCGTTTCGCTCCAAAGTCTTGGAGTTGGCCTACTGGGTGCCCCAGTGAGCGATTTATCGAGTTCAGTTGGCCACATCACTCCAATGACTCACGAACTGGTTTATGGTAGATATATCTATATATATATATATGGTTTTCCCATGATTTTCCCATTTTCCTATGGTTTTCCTATAGTTTTCCCATGATTTTCCCATTTTCCTATACTATTCCTATGGTTTTTCTTAAGCAACGTTCACTTTTCACATCTTTTCGGGCACCACCTTGGTCGTTTCAAAATCCCATTTGTCAAGCCCCATTTGATGTTGGTGAAATCACCATATTCTACAAGGTGGGGCCCCCGTTCGATAGCTAAGTTGGTGAATATAACTCCAATTTCACTATGGTTTATGGTACTTATAACTATAGTTAATGGGGTTTATAAACCAACTTAGCTATCTTGGGGGCCCCACCTTGTATGAATACCTGGCTATGTTCATCCTATCATTGGCGATATATGGCAGTGTGTCAAAACCTTGGTATTGATAGGTATTGATCCATACCCATATTTGCCATGGTCATAAAATCATAAACCATAAGTCACTGGTATATAAACGTTTACCAAAAAACGAATTGGAAAGATCCAGCATTTTGTAGCTGGGTAAATCCATTATTTCGACTGGGCCATTTTCCAGTTCGCAAACTGTTACCCTCTGGTAATTTAACATAACTATGGAAAGATCATGAAAGATCCACCATTCTTCATGGGAAAATTCACTATAAATGGTGATTTTCCATAGTTATGTTAAATTAGCAAACTGTTAACGTTTACCAGGCCGGGTAAGTCATTGGAGCTCATGCGGCAGGTGGTGCGAAGACTTTGGTGCCCTGGAACTTGTACCAGTCGACTCGTGGATGTTCGGACCTTAGGAACCTTCAGGAACCAGGTGACAAAGGGCCAGGACTACCCAGGACTCAAGCCATATGACAAAGGAATAGGGAATTCTTGGGAATATGATATGGGACAAAAATACCTGGTTGGTGTACAATATCTGGTTGGTGGTTTGGGTCATGGATTTTATTTTTCCATGTATTGGGAATAATACTCCCAACTGACTAATATTTTTTTCAGAGGGGTTGAAACCACCAATCAGATATACTGTAGGTGTACAATATGATGTCGTGTCTGAAACTGGGTATACCGGTATACCTTGAAATATTGTACACTATTGACTATTGTACATGTTTTTTAGACAAACATATTCTATGTGCATTGGATTTGGAAATGTTATATGTTCAGCCAAACCCACATAGGGAAATGATAGCCACAAACGAGGGAAACTTGTAAATTGACCTTTCTATTTATGACCCATATGCTCCATGTATGGTATATTTACCTACATTTGCCCTAATAATCACCCAAATGTAGGTAAATATACAATACATGGAGCATATGGGTGATGGTTAATGGATATGAACGGAACCTATAACCAGCAATATTCCGGGATTGTTCTCGATTGTTCTCAAAATGATGATTTCGTTGCCGGCCAAAAAGGATGATCCAATGTTGATTTACCCGGCCTGGTAAACGTTTACACAGCTATTGAACATGGCCCAGTCGAAATAGTGGATTTACCCAGCTACAAAATGGTATTTTTTTCCATAATTTACCCATTCAAAATGGTGAATCTTTCCATAGTTAACTATGAAAAATGGTGATTTCCCATAGTTTAACCATTAAAAATGGTGATTTCCCATAGTTTACCTATGAAAAATGGTGGATCTTTCCATAGTTTACCAGGCCGGGTATGTCCAAGGTATGGCCGTTTCGCTGGGACGTCCACGGCTCTGAGGTGAATTGGGCATCTTCCAGAAATTGTCCCAGGAGCAGCCGGGGACCCTGACGATCTCACGGCTTTTTTTCGGCAAAGAAACTGTGATTGGATTGGTTTAAGGGAAAATTTACAGGAAACCATAGATTTTCCCATTAAATATGGGGCTTTCCTGTAGATTTTCCCTTAAACCAATCCATTGAAACTGCAAAACGTGGGCATGAAATTGACCAACATGTAGGTTTTCGGTGTTTGCTGGGGAATCACACCAAGCCAACCAAGCCTCCTACCCAACCCATTTTATAAAGTCCAAACCATGAGACTTTGTAAGGTTAACAGCTGGATATGTAGAACGAACAGCTTGATTTTTTGGGAAATAGGATATGCCCAACAATGTATGGCAATTTAAATGAGGAAGATGATCACGCCAATTGGGGTACCCTCTGGTAATTTAACATAACTATGGAAAATCACCATTTATAGCGAATTTTCCCATGAAAAATGGTGGATCTTTCCAGTTCGTTATGTTAGTTTGCCAGGCCGGGTACCCTATCTTCAAATCCATGTGCTGAAGATACTCTCTGGTAAACAAACATAGCTATTGAAATTTGGCCATAGAAATAGTGGATTTTCCCATGAAAAATGGTGGATCTTTCCATAGCTATGTAACAAATTACCAGAGGGTAACATGCTGAAGAAACTCATGGGTTTCGGATGTCAAGGTGAAGTCCCAACCCCCAGCAACCCATCCAGCAACCCTACTACCCCCTGGTAATGACTAACAGTTCGCTATTGAACATGACCATAGAAATAGTGGATTTCTCTATTAAACATGGTGATGTTCCATAGTTTACCCATTAAAAATGATGATTTTCCATAGTTTACCCATTAAAAATTGTGATTTTCCATAGTTTACCTATATGAAACATGGTGATTTTCCCATATTTTTTTGTTAACGTTTACCAGAGGGTTTTTGCACCAGTAAGATTACCAAGGTTCATCCATATGATGGATCGCACCAGACAAGCACATCTTGCGGCAGCCAGTCAGTGTGGGAGCTTGGGATAGCCCGGGCCGCAATCCCCAAAAAAGTAGAACTGTAAAAGACTTCCCGAAAAATGCTAAATGACTTGTATTATGTATATTTATATATATATATTAAACCTCGGTGAATGGCATGTTGATGACATTGTTTAACCAGAAACTTAGGAATACAGTCCCATCCTCCATTCATATTAAAGACCCCCCAGAAAATATAGTCCCATGGGAATCTCATTCTTTCCACAGGAAGGGGGCCCCAAGAGATGGGGGTTTGCAAGAAAAACTCGGTTTGTGGTGGACATGCTACAGTTGACAGGGATTATATGATTATATGATTATAAATACAACATTTTACTATGGTCATTTTATTGTTACGACATGTAGAATATTAACCCTACTAGAATAGATCATTCCCAATTATTAAAAGAACAACTACAAAGTGGGGCCATTTAAGCTAAGTTGGTTCCCAATAACTATGGGTGATGATGTTTTATGAACATTATAATATATGGCTGTGTCTTTTTTTCAGGTGTGCAGATTTTAGTAAGGGTGGGAAGTTCGAGTTCTGCGAACCATACCCACGAATCATACCCCGAACCATACCCCGAATCATACCTGCGAATCATACCCCCAAAAATCACGATTATGAATGTTTCTTTTGGGATCGTTTGGGATTGCATGGCCTCACTAGTTTTAATGGACGTGACAAGCCAATTGACAAGTGTTGGCCAGATCCGATGATCCCTGGCTGCCTTCACATACCTTCACGACATGAGTGGTGAGGCTGGCTGGCTGGCTAGGTGGCTGGCTGCGTGGCTGGCTAGGCTAGGTGGCTATGGCAATTGCTGCTGCTGGTTGGGTGGCTGGCTATAGGGCTGGCTAGTTGCGGCTGGCTGGCTGCGTGGCTGGCTGCTTGCTGTGTTGTCTGCTATTAAGTAGCAGTTGTGGTAGGTTGACGGTGGGAAAAAGAGACTCAAGCAACAAAGCTTCCTGAATTCCAAAAAAACATGGGTTCCCGAACCATACCCCGAATCATACCCGAATCATACCCGAATCATACCTCAAACTTCCCAATTCTGAACCTTGGTACATTTGCAAGATCAGAACTTGTGTTTTGTGAGCATAAATCTTTTTCTTTGCAACCATTCGCCACGGGCTACACTACGCCTCCTGCTGCTTCTGAGAAAAATCCGGGAACGGCACCCTGCAGTGGCATCCTGCGATGGCACCAACATGCCAACTCCAAAGCGCACACACCACTTTGACTGCAGCACCTTGAAGCAGCACCCTGCAGCAGCACCACCAGCCAGCTCCAGAGCGGACACGCCACTCTAACAGCTGCACCCTGCAGCGTGCAGCACACCCTTCACTAGCACCATTGCACGCAAAATCGATCCCAGGGCCATTGAGACCCATATACTCCATGCATGATATAGATAGCATTAATTAGCAACATTCTGATGTTTTTGGGATTTTGGGACTAAGTATAGGTACATAAAGGGCCGCGAACCATACCCCCGAACCATACCCCGAACCATACCCCGAATCATACCCACGAATCATACCCCCTAGTCAAACTTCCCGGGCCGCACTCCTCATTTTGAGACATACCCATATATATATATACACGGGTTTTAACATATAAACCATATATAAACCATATATAAACCATATATAAACCATATATAAACCATATATAAACCATATTCATGGGCTTTAAACGTGTATAAACCAACAAACTCTACTCTTACGTTCGTTATGGGCACAGATCTATTCGATCCTCTCGCGGGATGACCTATCTACGAACAATTAGTGAACTTGATTATATATATAGGCAATTTGATACATATTTATAGTTGATAAGAACAAGGCGAATTATATAATAGTACATATTTATAGTTGATACATATATATGAAAATAATTACATATTTATAGTTGATAATAATACATATATATATATAATCAATAACAAGGCTAATTCATAGTTGATATATTTGATTTATCATTGATGATTAGCTAAGTTCTACCAAAAAAACTCCTTATTTTTTCACTATGCTTAACTTCTCAACACGGTGATTTTCTCCGGTAAACATGGCGTTGTTGGAAGATACCCACATTTCGTTCGTGGATTTCCCTGCCATGTTACCTTGGTGAAATGGACCGAGGCTGTTGCCTTCCACGGATGTGTCCATCAAGGTAGATCTCAAGTTGCTTGGCCGAAACAAAACATGCGGTCCCGACCACTATAGATATGAATCCATGAATAAAAAAATACATGTCGTTATATATATATATAACAACTATATTACTATATATATATATAATGTATACATATATATAACGACTATCATTATATATAATTATTATACACTGTGTATTGCGATGTATTTTATTTGGTATACACCATATTTGCAGCCCGACACACAGATACGAAACCAAACAAATCCAGCCCGGGACAATGATGACGAACCGCCAGATTTAGGGAGTCATTTTTTGGGGACATATCCAAGATACATACCCCCTGGTAATGACTAACATAGCTATTGAAGATGGCCATAGAAATAGTGGATTTACCATTAAACATGGTGATTTTCCAGTTCGTTATGTAAACGTTTACCAGAGGGTAGCTCATTTTCAGACATTCACATACTAGGATGTTTCAAGCATTTGTGGCCTTCAAATTCATCATACAGTAAATCTAGATTGACATGGAAACCTTCTGTAACACTTGGATTGTATCCTCGATTCTTGTTTCAGAGATGCGTTGATTTGGTGTTGATTTGGTGGATCAAAACCGATCATACCATATCCGCGTTGATATATCTATCCATTTAACCAGCAAGTTCAATTTGGATGTGAAAACTGGTAGCCTGGTGGGATATGTGTTTAGGATTGACGATGCTCAGGCTGACTATGCTGACTATGCTGACTTTCCCATCACCAACATCCGGGTGGTAGCCTGGTTTTGACATGTTAAAAAACATGTTTTGAGTATTTTTGAGTCATACCCTCTAGTAATTTAACATAGCTATTGAAAATGGCCATTTATAGTGTTTTCCCATAAAAAATGGTGATTTTCCATAGCTATGTTAGTTTACCAGAGGGTAATCCAAGCATTTGTCGGTCCTTTGGCGAGGTCGCAATCGCTCTTCACCGATTGTCACGTGGAGAATTGCTTGACTTTGGAGGTCTCCGCCTTGACGTCGTGTGGCGGTGCTGCTGAACCAAACTGACATTTTTGATGGGTCAAAACCTATGGAAACTGTGTGGGGGAATACCCATCCATCTGGGTAAATTATAACGACCTCACTGTTCGACCGAACCCTGGAATCATGTTTTTTTATAGGGAAATCATCCCCTTTTATGGCCGAACTATTCAGGTTAGTGAATTATTCTAATTTACCCAGAAACCATTAACCAGCTATTTTGTGGTAGCTACCAGGGTTTTGACCCAGCATTTTCTGTTGAAAACTTGCTGGTTGGTAGTTTCAAACATTTTTTATTTTCCATAATATATGGGATAATCCTTCCCATTGACTTTCATATTGTTCAAGATGGTTTGGTGGCACCACCAACCAGCTTGTTCTTTCCTGTAGTCCCACTCTGTTTGCACGCAGGTCGTGATTTGCCTCCAGAATCCATCGCGCTTGCGCGTGACCGAACGGGGCCCCAACGTCCGGTGGATGTTGGAATGGGACAGTCGTTTCGGCGTTTCAAAAATCATCAGTGATGGCTCGAAATACCAGTTACAAATCAGTAAATCAACCCATTTATGGAATCATAATCTCATTTACAACAATTTACAACCATTTAGACCCATTTAGACTTGTTAAAAACCTTTGACTGTAGACGTACATAGCTAATCCTAGCTCTGGGGAATTGCAGGCCAGGCTAGATTATGTTACCAAAAGGTATCGGACTTTGACCCTGCATATCAACACCTGAAATTTGCAGAACATCCTTACCCTCCGGTGTCATCAAACGTGTTTGGCTGCGTTCCATCCAGTGGAAATCAAGGCTAAACATCCTGCATCATCCTGTTCTCCGGTTCATCGGTTTGTATCCTTTCTGCTGATTTGTGGAGTTTAGAGCCCCATTCTGAAACTCGTATACAGTTAGTTCATAGTATTTGTATTAGTATATTAGTATAGTATAGTTCACAAGTATATACAATCTGAGAACTTCAAGATTCTCCAAAGTTTATATACTGAGTTGCTTGGAAACAAAAACAGTGTTTATATAGTGAATTCTTAGCTGAAGTAATGTCATCTTCTGGTTGGTGGTTTCAAACATGAATTTTATTTTCCATTTCATATATGGGATGTCATCCTTCCCATTGACGAACTCCATCATTTTTCGAGATGGTTATTGCATCACCAACCAGATATTGATTAATCCATTTGGGAATGGTAAAAATTCCATTATCATCCATTATCAACCACTATAAACCACTATTAACCACCATTAAACCACTATTAACCACCAACCAGATGATATATGGGGATGTCTCAAAAAAGGGGGATCATCAAGTCCAAGTCACCAGGGGGTAACCATGGTTAACCTATACTAAGTCATGGTTTCTTCCTGGATGATTTGGGGTACCCTCTGGTAATTTAACAGTTTGCTATTGAACATTGCCATTGAAATAGTGGATTTTCCCACTAAAAATGGTGATTTCCCATAGTTATGTAAACGTTTACCAGAGGGTACAATCTCAAATCCCATCTTGAACCCCAGTGACATACTATAAAAACAATGGAAAACCTCAATTTTTAATGGGTAAACATATGAACCACCCTGGATTTTGATGTCAGCTTCCCCGCGACAAGGCTGGCATTGTTGAAGGCATGCGATGGTTGGCCGGGGCTCCCCAGCGGGGCGCGGCACAAGGAGGGGACGGCGCTCTTGGACGGCGGTGAGTCCGAACTCCGTTGGAACACTCAAATAGATGTAAAATATGTAAATGCATATGTATATATATATACTACATATAGTGGGTAAATATTAATATAATATAATATAATATAATATAATATATAATATAATATAATATAATATAATATCATTATAATATAATATAATTATATATATATGAGACTTAAGACCCCTCATCTAAAGGTCGGACTATTTGAGACATTTTGGATGGAATTCGTGATTGAACAGGAACCCAAATCTGGTGATTGATGACAATCGTTTGATACTCTGTGATTTTTTGGTTGAGGCTTAAGGAATATACACTTAAGATCACTTAAGCAAACCTGGCAACGGAAGATTTGAGATGTCTTCATTATTTAGATCTTGAAGGTGATGTATGATCATTGGCTTTCTTTTAAGGAAACGATTTTTTTTCTGTTGTTTTTTTCGGGTTTCCGGGTTTCCTGATTGATTTTCTTCAACTAAACATAAAGTTTGTTCCACTGCTAGGTCCACAAGCAGAACTATGAAACACAAAGTCAGAGTTGAGACTCGCACCATGTTTGTTCCTGCAAACACCGAAACTCCCATGGTTGGGCTACGATTGATTTTTTGTCACTACGTGTTTTCGGAGACGTTGTTTTGGAAGTTGGCAGTTGTTAAGCACCAGGTGTCTGCCAGGTGTTTGTTTCAGCTGAAGGGTTGGACTCCTAAGATGGGAACATGAAGGGTTGGACGCATTGCAAACCACTCCCACTCTAAGAGATACCCTCTGGTAGATAAACATAGACCCTGGCAGTCATCGGGCTTGGAAGACTAGTTTCCATGAAAAAATGGTTATTTTCAGGGTCAACATGTTTATTTTTACCAGGGTCTATGTAATTTTCAGATAGCCAAGTTGGTTTATAACTCCAATAACTATGGTTTATGGTAGATATATCTAAACTATTCCTAGGGTTTATAAACCAACGTTCACATCACTGGGGGGCACCACATATATAGAGGCCCCTTTCCACGACCATGTTTTTGTTGGTCATCGAAGAGTCCCAGGTGCGCCGGGCGTTGGATTTTCAGATGTGGCCCTTTCTGCACGCCTTGTGGGGAGAACTCAGATGCTGCGGCCTGCGGGGGAAGTGCAGCTGTAGCCATCGTCGAGCTTCTGTGAACATCACATGATATGCTTACTGGTGCTAAACGTAGGGAATGGATGGGTTGCTGGGGGTTGCTGGGGGTTGCTGGGATGATTATTGATAGTTATTGGTTGGTGGTTTGGAACATGATTTTTTTTTCCATTTCATATATGGGATGTCATCCTTCCCATTGACTTTCATATTTTTCAAGATGGTTATTGCACCACCAGCCAGATGATATATGGGGATGTCTCAAAAAGGGGGATCATCACGTCCAAGTCACCAGGGGTTAACCTATACTAAGTTATGGTACGACTGGATGAATTGGGGTACCACCATTTTAGGAAAACGCCATCTATGGTAGACATCCCTGGATCCTTAGAAGCACACTAATTTCTGCTCCAGATAGTTTTTTCTTGCTCATTTCAGTACTTTGTGCTCGGGGTATTTAGTAAGTCACAGGCTTCCGAATAACCACTTATTCAATGTGCGCTTGTTTGCGCAAAAATTGCTCTCCTTCTGCGCAATGGTTAGGGCAATGTCAAACTATGAGAAAACAAGATGTGCTCGTTTTTGCGATTTCCTGCTCGTGATCCACGTTTGTGCTCGCTGTAGTGAAAAGATATACAGAACCCCAGACATCGCTCGTCCAAAGCTCCAGGTATTATAAATCTAGGTATGGATCAATACCTATACATACCATTTTTAGTGGGATGAACATCCATTTACCAGCTATTTTGGGGTTCACTAGGTACCAGGGTTTTGACCCATCCCCATCTATCTTGCGTATGAATTGATCACACCCGAGAAAAAAAACAATAACATGAGTATAGAACCGGGAAGGAATGGCAGCTGGACCAACACTGGATATGGTGGCGGTGCCCCAAAAAACAGGGTCTGTTGAATGGATGTTGGCCTAGAAGGTGCACCTGTTAAAATCATTTCAAATCTGGGTTTTCAACCAACTGGGAGAAGCACCTCGTGTGTGGTGTGTTGTTTAGCGATTTGAGGCCTGCTGCCAGGTCCGCTGGTTGATATTTCTCCAATCAGATCCAGACAGCTTGGCTGACTTGGCTGGCCGCATGGGTGCCAGCAGCACCTTGAAGGTATGGCTACTGCGGATGCATTTCAGTTCGTTGATTGTGAAATCATGAAGGTGCTGCAATCTGTGCCTGTGCCGCCAGAAGATTGGTACCCATCTGAATACACCGTTTTCTGGCTCCAATTTCTACCTCTTCGCCAAAGCTTTCTCATTTTCACCAATGCTTTGCGAAATTGCAATGAATGATGTGAGACCAAAAACGAGGAGAGAGGCCAGCAAATGGGCATGGGATGTATGTTTTTATGTTGGGTAGCTAGCCTTAGATCCAAGCAATTGGAGCCAGCACATTTGAGGAAAAAACGGCCAGTAGGCAGGAGGATGTTTTAGCCAGGGATGAGATCAGCGTTGGTGGTTTGGAACATTTTGTTTTCATTTGTTTTCCACATATTGGGAATTTCATCATCCCAACTGACGAACTCATATTTTTCAGAGGGGTAGGTATACCCACCAACCAGTAATTATAGCCACACATAAGGTTTTGCAGCTGATAGGGGGTCTTTGGAAATGGATTCTAGGGTCCTTGGTGATTTAGTTCTACCTCTGATTGTGTGATATATGTTTTCCATTATTTATTTCTTTATCTATCTTATCTATCAAGGTAGGTGGCCTTGGTATATACTAGTGACAATGATCCCAAAGGAAAGATCGTCTTGGGCTAGTGTCCCTTGGATGTTTCAATATATTGTTACTTCTTATCCGCCATTCGGTAATCATGCCAAGATGGGGATTGATAATTAGTGTCTCCATCCATTTACCCTTCTATTCGTGGAAGTGCCAGTCAGAACAAACGATCACCATTCGATCGTAGTTCAAATAGGTTTTTTTGGGTTGGGTACTTTGATAAAATATAAATATATATTATATATATATCAATATATGCAGCCGATAGGGGGTTTTTGGAATTTGATTCTAGGGTCCTTGGTGATTTAGTTCTACCTCTGATTGTGTGATATATGTTTTCCATTATTTATTTCTTTATCTATCTTATCTATCAAGGTAGGTGGCCTTGGTAAATACTAGTGAAAATGATCCCAAAGGAAAGATCGTCTTGGGTTAGTGTCCCTTGGATGTTTCAATATTTTTAATTCTTATCCTTCTTTCGGTAGTCATGCCAAGATGGGGGTTGAAAATTAGTCTCTCCATCCATTTACCCTTCTATTTGTGGAAGTGCCAGTCAGAACAAACGATCACCATTCGATCGTAGTTCAAATAGTTTTTTTTTGGGGGGTTGGGTACTTCGATAAAATGTAGAATATACTATATCTATGTTGTGCAATTGATCTGGGTTCTCTGGAAATGGATTCTTGGGTCTTTCCAACTATTTTATATATGATAATGGAATTGAATTGTATTATAGGTACTTTATTATTTTCCCTATGAGGTAACCAATTGGTTGATTAAATGGGTATCATCTTACCATTGGTTATTTAATATAACTATTTGTTTTTTACCATACTCATAGAAAATTTTATGTGCATTATTATGTTCATTCTTAGGCAACCACTTGGTTGGCTAAATTGATATCATCCCAGTAACGGTTACGGTTATTTTATTTTATGATATTCCTTGGATTAACTGGGGTCCACTACCATTTCTGAAGGGTACCAACCAATTGCTGGATCAAAATGGAAAAGGTATCAACCACGCTCTTGTTTTTTCTAGGGTGGTGCCCCCATATACCTTTGGTATAAAGCCACCAATGTTAATGTTATCCCTGATTATCATTATTTTTTTTCAAGTACTAAATTTCCCCCATTATTTCTACATCTACATCATATATCCTTTAAATGCAATGCCCAACAGCTAATTTGCCGAAGTCAGGGCGCAGAAATCAGCACCCTGAGTTAGGAAAAAAAAAATTGACGATATCCTAGGTGTTTGGTGGGGTATTGCCTAAGTAAGGTCGCAAAAATCTGCACCTAGACTTGGGCAATACAGAGGTTGTACCCTGGGATTTAGGAAAAAAAAAATTGCCGATCTCAGGGTGCAGAAATTGGCATGTGGACTTGGGAAACAGCCCTACTATTATATTCTACCATGATTTTTGCCGCAGAGGATTCCGGGTCCTTGATTTTGAGATTTAGGAAAAAAAAATTGCCGATCTTTTGGCTTGGGGGACCCCGTATCCGGCGCATCCGCACATCCGTCGCATAACAATATTTTATTTTATATTTTATCGAAGTACCAACCCCAAAAAAAACCTATCTGAACTACGATCGAATGGTGATCGTTTCTCCTGACTGGCACTTCCATAAATAGAAGGGTAAATGGATGGAGAGACTAATTATCAACCCCCATCTTGGCATGACTACCGAAAGAAGGATAAGAATTAATAATATTGAAACATCCAAGGGACACTAACCCAAGACGATCTTTCTTTTGGGATCATTTTCACTAGTATTTACCAAGGCCACCTACCTTGATAGATAAGATAGATAAAGAAATAAATAATGGAAAACATATATCACACAATCAGAGGTAGAACTAAATCACCAAGGACCCTAGAATCAAATTCCAAAGACCCCCTATCTGCTGCATATATTGATATATATATATATATATATTAAATGTTTTATCAAAGTACCCAACCAAAAAAAACTATTTGAACTACGATCGAATGGTGATCGTTTGTTCTGACTGGCACTTCCACGAATAGAAGGGTAAATGGATGGAGAGACTAATTTTCAACCCCCATCTTGGCATGACTACCGAAAGAAGGATAAGAATTAAAAATATTGAAACATCCAAGGGACACTAACCCAAGACGATCTTTCCTTTGGGATCATTTTCACTAGTATATACCAAGGCCACCTACCTTGATAGATAAGATAGATAAAGAAATAAATAATGGAAAACATATATCACACAATCAGAGGTAGAACTAAATCACCAAGGACCCTAGAATCAAATTCCAAAGACCCCCTATCGGCTGCATATATTGATATATAAATATATATATATATATACAATATATATATTTTATCAAAGTACCCAACCCAAAAAAACCTATTTGAACTACGATCGAATGGTGATCGTTTGTTCTGACTGGCACTTCCACGAATAGAAGGGTAAATGGATGGAGACGCAAATTATCAATCCCCATCTTGGCATGATTGCCGAATGGCGGATAAGAATTAACAGTATATTGAAACATCCAAGAGACACTAACCCAAGACGATCTTTTCTTTGGGATCATTTTCACTAGTATATACCAAGGCCACCTACCTTGATAGATAAGATAGACAAAGAAATAAATAATGGAAAACATATATCACACAATCAGAGGTAGAACTAAATCACCAAGGACCCTAGAATCCATTTCCAAAGACCCCCTATCAGCTGCAAAACCTTACATTTGTGTTATTTTTGTTTTTGTAGATGGAATTGATACGAATTGACCATATCTATTGACCAAAGGTTTACCTTCAACAGGTGATCCACGTGCCACCAAGTTGTCACACCACTCAAAACAAGGGAGTGCCAGAGATGGGTACACACCAGATCCTGGTTGGTGGTTTCAAACATTTTATATTTTCCATAATGTATGGGATAATCATTAACATGCTATTGAACATGGCCATTTATAGTGGATTTACCCATTTATAGCTATAGTGGATTTTTATTTTATTGTTCCATTTCATATATGGGATGTCATCCTTCCCATTGACGAACTCCATCATTTTTCAAGATGGTTATTGCACATGTTAAAACCACCAACCAGGATCTTACCCTCTGGTAAACGTTTACATAACGAACTGGAAAATCACCATTTTCCATGGGAAAACTCACTATTTCAATGGCCATGTTCAATAGCAAACTGTTGACATAACCAGAGGGTACCCTCTGGTACGGAGCCAAAGCCGTTCTTGTGGGGAACAAAACCCATTTTTTAACCCACTGGATCACTGGATCAGGCCTAGTTTTCCCCATCAAATATAGGGGTTCCCACATTCGTTAAATATATAAGGGAAAGTGTAATGAACGGGGAAAACTCATCAACTCATATCCCATTTCCTAGTTTTCCCTTAAATTCATCCAATGAATGGAAGAATATCAATGGTGTTTGGCTGGGTCCCGTCTTGCCGTCTTGCCGTCCTAGGCATGGCAAACCTGCTAACGGCATTGGACGCTGGTGGGGGAGCTACAGAACTGTGGTGCCAGCACCGTTGGGAAGTCACCGTAACCATCAAACATTAAGGTGATTTGAACATACCTCGGGGAGCATAGCCCATGGTTAAAGCCCTTTACCAGTTACAAGTCATTTCCAAACCCATTTATGGAATGCCAAACCCATTTATAACCATAAGAACAACTGGTGAACGGTTTGAACTGTATTAACCCGTGATTCTGCTTAATTATATATTTGAATGATAACCCCACAATATAATATAATATAATATAATATGATATAATATAATATAATATATATTATATATATACATACTATGTGCATCTATAGCCATTGATAACTGGTTTCCAGGGCTTCAACTGCCCGCAACACCTTAGATTTCTCGGCATCCTATAACCGGGGCACCCCTCTCTCATCGCCCTCCAGTGTACCTTGGTGGAGATAGCGTTCAGAAACGCCTCAAAAAAGTGGCTGAAGTCTATGGTTTATGGTAGAATTCTATGGATTATGGCTGAATTAACTTTAGATATAACGAACTAGTATTCATGGGGTGGAACTAAACCAACAGACATAACTCGGGGGGGCGCCATCCGAATTAGATAGCGTTGTATTTTGAAGTATCAAACTACTTCGGAGGCCCAAATAGAAGAGGTATACTGAACCAGACAGTCATGTGTTCGTTTGCTACAGTATGGGATATATCGACCCAAAGATTGTCGAAAAATGACAAGGGATGATGAACATGTCACCCGTGAATAGTTGTGCAGTTGTCACTGACCCATTGCAGCAACAAGGCCTTGAATTCATTGTGTGTATACATATATAATATTATATAATATACACATACATATACATTATATATATGTAGATTTATTTATATACATATACATAATATACAAATTATACATATTATATATACCAATCAACCGAAACAAAAGACATAACGATGAAAAAACTCACCAACAACCAACGCGCCTGCCTGGCGTCTTGTCGCTGAAGGCACGTCCTGAGGAGTTTCATCCACCTGAAACGGCGGATCCAGGGGTGCCTTGGTGATGTGAGACATGAACATCGCCTGGTTGATTGGTAGCCTCTGGTAATTTTATTGGAGGGGCTTAGACCCAAAATCAGGATTTTATTGGAAAATATGTGGATAATGGGAGATACCATCTGGTAATTTAACATAGCTATTGAAGCCATGGCCCATAGAAATAGTGGATTTACCCATTGAAAATTGGTAGTTGACTATACCATAACCATCTATAACCCATATGCGAACCATGGTGCTGAGATGTTTACCAACATAGTTTTACCACATTTTTATGGCCCAGTTTTGTAGGTAAATATACTATACATGGAGCTATGGGTAACTGTAAAAGATAAGTTCATAGTTTAATAATCGAACTAGGCGTAGATTAAAACTATACTGTGTAATCATGAAATGATGCGGGTTATTAACCATCAATTGGCTTGGAAAACTAGTTGTGTGTGTGTTTTTTTTTACATATTTGACTAGGTAATACATAAGTTATATCAAACATAAAAATACCATACATAAGTTAAAAAAACAAAGTAATGGGGTTTTACCTAATTAATACTATCATTTTTTTTTGACTTTAGTTATGTCATAAGGGGTTTTAACATGTGTAAAACAAACCGATCGTTTTTTCACGATCGAAGCATGGGGATACACGTGGATTCTGTAGCGATGGTGGATGTGTGGGGACTTAAAGGATATCAGCCATATCAACCATCATTAGCTAATTAACAAAGACATGGATTGGTGAATATAGCTAAGTTGATGGTGGATTGGTTGATCAATTGTACAGCTAATTAACAAAGACATGGATATCATTAGCCATATCAACCATAATTAGCTAAGTTGATGGTGGATTGGTGAATTGGTGAATATAGCTCATTTTGATTGGGGATTATGACAAGCCATAAAAAAAACCAATCATGTGCACAAAGTTCTTTCAAGGTTTTGGAAATGCTTGGAAGCCTAAAATATCATGGTTTCCTCGTCAATGGACACGATTTTGTTTGGTATCTCCCATTTTGAGACAAACAAATATTGGTAAATGGTAAAATGTGATGTACATGTGTAGCTCTATGATGTACTTGATGTACAATAGAATGTATTAGTACATGCAATTACCACATAGCTCATGTATACATCTAGCTGTATTGCAGTACATCATTTTTGTTCCTGGATGTTCAATGCAATTAATGTCAACCCTGGATTAATAAACCCAAAACTGTTGTTTAATTGGGTGGATACCATTTAAGTAACAGATTATGACTATTTGGGGAGTACCCCACTAATAAACCATGGTTTATTAATCCGGGGTTGACATTACATGCAATTACCACATAGTTCATGTATACATCTAGCTGTATTACAGTACATCATTAGTTCTTTTCTGGATTTTCAATGCAATTACATGCAGTTGCCACATAGCTCATTAGCCAAACCAACCTTTTGTGTCTCAGAGGAAATCAGCAGCATCCACCAGCCCACTGTCGTGTGATTTTTGTGTACCCCGCAGGGATGCCTGTCAAAAAAAGAGGTGTATACTACTTCCTTATCCAATGTATATATGTACTATATCATACATATATATATATATTATATATGGGGATGTATATATACAATTCTATAGATGTATATAGGTACTATCTATCTATCTATCTATCTATCGATCTATCTATCTATCTATCTATCTATCTATCTAGATGGGTCAACAACAGATTTGTTGTTGATTTTGAGCATGAAAATGGGTCGTGCCAGACCACTGTACCCATGCATGAACTAGTATGTGGTTCACGAATTAGATTTGCTATCGGTTAAGTGAACTTTTGGTTAGTTAAGGGCTATTTTGAATGACATGACTCGGTTTCTCAATTATGTACAGTTTGTCAACAACATGACTCCGTGTTTGATGAACATGAAAATGGGCATAGTTTCCCAGTCGCCAAGCTGGAACAGACCATTAGGGGATCCAATGAGATAAACGTTGCTCGATAAGAAGTGCAGTAATCCCATCCCCCGTTCAGCCCTTAAACACCCCCGAAACGAAACCATGGCAGATATAGGGAATTTCCACATTTTATAGGAACCATAGAAATGGGGTGCTTTTCATATTAGGGGGATGGGATTAATCTAAATAAGTTTGAGGGAATACCACAGGATCAGACCACAGGCCCATCCCCAAAAGCCAGGAAAGAGGAATGGACGTGAGTCAGTTCCGTCAGTCGCTCATCAATGTTGGTGATACTTGGTCAGTTCCGGTTATAAGTGGGTATAAAACCATAAAGGATTACATATATAAGGGTTGTATCCCATCTCATGGTAATTAACCATCTAGTTTTAAACATCTAGTTACACTCCGGAACCCCATTCCTAGTTACCCTAATCAGCTAACCATAAACATAGTTAAACATAGTTAAGCATCTAGTTTCCCATCTAGTTACCCCCAACTGCACCCCCATTCCCAATCAGCGATGAGGAACCTCTCCGGCTCGGCCAGGAACGCCTATAATCTCCATGATGCGATCCGCATGCGAATGAACTGCAAGGACTTGAGAACATCGACATGACTTGTGCAAGGATCTACCAAGTTAATAGTAGTGGTTAATGGTGGTTAATGGTGGTTAATTGTGATGAAAATTGTGGTTAAGTATATAATCATTTTGAATGGGAAATCCCTAGATATATTGGGTAATGATAGGGAAATGTCTAAAGGTATTGGGATATAATCTGGTTGGTGGTTTGGAACATGTTTTATTTTTCCATATATTGGGAATAATACTCCCAACTGACTAATATGTTTTGAGAACTGGAACTGGTTGGTGGTTTGGAACATGAATTTTATGACTTTCCATTCAGTTGGGAATAATGCTCCCAACTGACGAACTTCATGATTTTTTACCACCAACCAGATAATCCCCAAAGCTCAACATAGCCTGGTTGCTTACTGGGACTTCAAAACGGTTTCAGCGTTTTGAAGCAACTAGATCAACCTGTTGTGTTTCGAGGTTAAACCGTTGAAAACAACGACTCCGAGTATTTCGATGTCGGGGAAAACGGGGATGACAACGGGGTACCTAAAATTCACCAAATCGACAGATGGCTTTTGGTAAACGTGTACACATAGCTATGGTCTGGAGATGGCCCTTTTTGAAATAGATGGTGTTTACCTATTAAAAATGGTGATTGCATGTAATGTCAACCCCGGATGAGACTAAAGCATGGTTTATGAAAATTAGGGGGTACCCTCCACATAGTCACAATATGGTACATAAATGGTACCCTCCCAATTAAACAGCCGTTTGGGGTTTATTAATCCAGGGTTGACATTATAGCTTTTGGTGGAATTGATGTTTTCGTGAGAGACAAATCTATACATCCGCATTTTGTTGGTTGTATGTCCTGTATATGTATATACCCTCTGGTTATTTAGCGGTTTGCTATGGAAAATGACCCATTTGTAGATGATGTACCTATTAAAAGTGATGATTTTCCATGGCTATGTGAAATAACCAAAGGGTATTGCATTTGATACTCCTATGAAGGCGTTTGGTTGTTTCTGTCCAGGCCAGCCTCATGGGTTGAAGGAACAGAAAATCCATTCAAGCTGACAAAGATATCTTGGTTCATTGGTTATCACGTGGTGCCCCATAGTTAGCTAAGTCGGCGGACATAACTCCAATTTCACTATGGTTCATGGTAGATATAACTATAGTTAATGGGGGTTGGAAACCAACTTATAACTGGGGGGCACCACATTGTAGGGAATAACATATTATAATCACCCAAAGGATTGGGACACACAAGTTTCAACAAGTAGTAGATGTTTTTTGGGTTCAATTATTCAACCAAGTCGTAGAATTCGATGGGGCAAGGGTTTATTTAATGGCTCATTTGAGAGTAAGGGCGATGGTTTCCTGCAGACCAATCCTTTAAACATCCATTGGTTAATTATGTGCTCATATTCCCATATGTATAGTCATAGAATGACTCCTGAAAAAATAAAGAAAATTACTGCTACTATAGTACGGTTTCACTGTCCTATGTTTTGCGTGGTTCCTATATACTCTGTAATATATCTATAAATATATGTATATATATATATATATATTTATATATATATATACATGATTGGTTATTAGTGAATATTCCCGTCTACATATATACCGTGCATTTATATATTATAGAGATAGATCTCACGATCGAATATGGTCCTTTTCCCTTGAAGTTCAACGAAGGAACTCATCGCAGGAATACATCCGTCTCTACAAGAAGAAGTTCAACGGCCCCCAGAGCAGCTTCCACTGGCGCCGCTCGCTGCCGCCTCTCACTGCCGAGGCGCAAAAAAAGGGCAGCAGTTCCCACGATTCTGACAAGCCGTGTTTTGGAAATCCCATGGGTCAATCATATTAGTCTTTGAAATCTATAGAAATGTCATGAAGTGTTCATGTTTTTTCTTAGTTGGGGTTGTTTCTTGGTGGTTTCCCTTTCTGCGAAATTCAGAATTGGATGTTCGATCGACGTTTGGCGCGGCCCAATGGAGGACGCCACAAGATTGGGCCTCATTGAGTTGTCATATCCCGCGGACAAGCTGGTGAATTTCAGGTGCTGCGGGGCGGTTGACTCTTCGTGGTTTGATAAGGGGATTAAGAGCTGCTGGATCCTTCTAATTATGTAAAGATACTGGCATACTATGGTGCCCAGTTGGCGCTGTATAGTTTCAAGAGTTTTTCAGGGAACATGATGCAATGAAAACTATGTGCAATTCTTAAATTATGAACAGGGACTCATGCAATTCTCTTCGTTACTGCTGCAAATAGTACAATGGTAGCTTTTTCAAAATGTACCGATTACAAAGGATCGGTGTCACAGCAGTGGCGATGACTTGGGGTATTCGAGCCCAGTGATTCCGGATGCATTCCACTTGTCTCCCGAAGCCTGGAATCATGGTTAGTAAAGGGAATTATCCCATTTTATGGCCCAACATTTCAGGGTTAGTGAATTACTACAATTTGCCCCTATATATTATTATATATATAAAATTATATATCTATATATTGGAAACCCTTTGTATCGGTCATTTGATGCCTTCTTTGGCCTATTTTAGATCTATATCAAATGAAAAGGGTAACCCAGATGGATTAGTGACCTTAAAAATCACCTATTAGATGCATAGGTAAATCACATCATAGTGACCCAGATGGATTTTTCATGCTATATCAAATGAAAAGGGTAACCAGCCATGATCAGTCTACTTCCCAAGGCATCCAAAGCAGGATTGGATCCCATGGATTACGGCGAAGTACCCGAAGTAGCAACAGTTTGCAAACTGGAAAATCGCCATTTTTTCATGGGTAAACTATGGGAAAATCATCATAAACTAGGGGAAAATCATCATTTTTAATGGGTAAACTATGGGAAATCACAATTTTTAATAGAGAAATCAAGTATTTCTATGGTCCATTTTCCATAGCTATGTTTCTTTATGGAAACTAACATAAGTATATGGAAAATCACCACATCTAACAGGTAGATCAACGAACTAAATGTTCCATTTCCAATAGCAAAGTTAAATGACCAGAAGGTATGCTTCTCTGGACCGCATGGGTCAGAGGGAGTCTGGCCGCTACATCAGATCTGAAACTCCAGATACCCTTAATCTGATGGTTCCCAAGTAGAATGACCATAAACTTACTGGTGCGTTTTACGTAGGGTTGCTGGATGGGTTGGGAATGGGGGTTGCTGGGATGATCTGCCTGATAGTTAGCCAGTGGATCATTCCCCAAAATTTCCCTACGTTTAGCACAAGTAATTACACTCTGCATGGTAATTTAACATGGCTATGGAAAATCACCATTTTTAATGGGTAAATCCACTATAAATGGCCATTTTCAATAGCTATGTTAAATTACCAGAGGGTAAGTAAATTGGGGTTATCCCCAACCGAGATGTCGCGCATCTTAGACATCTATTTTACTTTGCCCTGAAAGAAAAGTCAAGAAACTCGTCCAGAAGTTGGACCCCTCACGTTCTGCCAGCGAGTTAATTATTTTTTTCTGAGCAAATTGTGGCGACCTCAGTGTAACCTCACCAGAGAATGATCAATGATAGCTATAGTTGGAGAATATCTCGCCAGAGTATCCTCCTCAATCACCATTGATAGACACATTATCCCCACAATTGCTTGGGAGTTTTTCAATTCACGTTTTTTTTTTTTCGCGGTGATGTTTGACTTTCCCAATGAGAAACACAGCATTTGGGGAACCCATAGGGTATGTATTTCATTTGCTTGGTGCCCCCCTGGGCAAATCTCAGAATTTACCATTTGGTTATGACTAACAGTTTGCCATGGAAAATCACCATGTTTAATAGCTAAACCATCTATTTCTATGGGCCATCTATACCATGGCTATGTTAAATAACCAGAGGGTACCTAGAATCGTCCTGATATCAAAGTTGAAGTCCACTTCTCCTTTTACCACAGGGATGGAGGCATCGGCATGGGCATTCCTTTTCCCACTGGTTTGAACTACACGGGTTCTCCCACAATCAGTAGGTCAATGATAATACACCCCTGGTTGGTGGTTTGGAACATTAATTTTATTTTCCATTTCATATATGGGATGTCATCCTTCCCATTGACTAATAATATTTTTCAGAGGGGTTGAAACCACCAACCAGTAAACCCTATGGTTTCAAAGAATTTCTGAGATCATACCCATTGAGATTCACCAGAAATGATCAATGATTATAAACCCTCTGGTAAACGTTTACATAGCTGGTGAACATTGCCATTTAGAGTTGATTTACCCATTAAAAAATGTGATTTTCCATAGTTATGTTAGTTTACCAGAGGGTAAACCCTATGAATCAGTACTTAACCCCTAAATCATGCCCCAACCTTCCTAAGTACAACTGGATAGGGAAACCCGTGCCTTGGATGGTTCGACAGGATGATGGCGCAAACCGAGATGAAAACAGAAACCTCCATCAACTCCTTCGCGGAAGAAGGCGGGGATGACATATTTCATTCGTGGACTTTTGGTATTTACATGGGAATTTCAGCGGATTTAAATACTTTTTCATGGACTTTGAATCCATTTATTTGTATCACGTTCCTGGATTTGCTAAAGATGGTGATGTTGTGATGTTTTGAATTTTGCCAAAATCCGCTTGAAATGTAGAATCCATGGGAAGATGTGTTATATGTGTGGGGGTCCTTAAGCAGATTCAAGTGTTGTGATTGTGGCAAGTTAGTTTTTTTCTTCTGCCATGTTGATGCAATAATAGAGACATTATGTTTCTTTGTAGGCTGGTGATAAGTTCAAAACAATAAAAACAATACATATAATGAGGAAGCCTCCATTCCAGGAAACGAATTGAACTTTGAATGTGTACTTTACTACTTCATTATTTTGCCAATGGCGATCATAAAGGGGAGGATATACTAACTGGGAAAAACCATTTGCTGAATGCTGAATGCAGAAGATCTAAGATTTGCCACGGTATTTGAAATCGATCAATGGCCCCGTTCTCGAATGAATTCATCAAGCAGCTAGGACAAGGTCCTGAAAAACTCTGGCGTCCTATGGGACACTTGACCAAGTATCTCCAATCTCAATGCTTTGGGCTCTCCCTTCCTTCGGCGATTGCAGCGACAGAAGATGTGAAAAAAAACATGCTGCCCTCGTGGATGGACACCCCTCAATGAAACACATTCCCCAAGAATTGGGGCTTGAGAAGTTTCATTTATAAGGGTTGATGGTGAATACCACCAACTAGGAAGGCTTTCATCTGGGTAAAAAAAAAACATAAAATAATAATAAGCCACAAATTTGGGAATGGTTTATACCAGTTATTTATGGTGATGACTGGGGAATGGTAAGCATGGCATTGTTTAAAGTCATGTTATCCTTGTTTTTTTTTCCCCGGTAGATTGCCATGATTCCTTGGAATCGAGCCATAGCAGCGTGCAACAGGATCTCTATTGGTACCCCCAGTCATCATCCATTTTAGATTGGGATTTTTCATGAAATAAACCATCCATTTGGGGTACCCCCATTTATGGAAACCTCCATCATATATATATATATATATATATACAATGTGAGGCCCCCCAGTTATGTTTGTTGGTTATAAGCCCCAGTAACTATAGTTATAAGTACCATAAACCATAGTTATTGGAATTACAAACCAAGTTAGCTATCTTGGGGGCCTCACATTGTATATATATATATATACATATATATATGTAGGATATCAAGCCCGGGCTCTGTCAACTTGCCCAAAAACGAATCAGTATGTTGCCCCATATTTGTCCATGATATCTCAGAATTTCACTGGTTGGTAGTTTGGAACATGTTTTATTTTATTGTTCCATATATTGGGAATCATCATCCCAATTGACTAATATGTTTCAAGATGGTTAAAACCACCAACCAGTTCAGGATTGCTTTTCAGCCCAACGCAGGTGCCAAAAACAAGAAACGCATGCATGTTTTGTGGCTGAGATCATCACTGAGATTGGCTCTACATTATAGCCTCTGGTTATGACTAACATAGCCATGGTATAGATGGCCTATAGAAATAGATGGTTTACCTATTAAAAATGGTGATTTTCCATGGCTATGTTACTATGTTAAATAACCAGATGGTAAATCCCAAAACTGGATCCTAGCTTTGTTTATACTTTTACTATGCAAGTATGCAAGTTGTACCTCGGTCCATAGACAGGTGCCCCCCTCATACAATTTTGACTGGACTCCAATTCGCCAATTTTCCGAACGGAATTGTTGATGGGCCATGGAGTGAGTCAACAGTAACTGGGATCCGGGCAGAGTTCATGGCTGAAAACCGGCTGCCATCAAGACAATAAGAAACCCCCAGATGGAACAGTTGGACACCTATTGTTTCTCTGTATGCAATAAATTGAGGTCACTATCTACGACATCCTGAATGGTTTTAATCTTTTTAGGGACCCCCAAAACAACTAAACTCCCGTAAACTCCCAAGTATTTTTTTTTCTTACAGGTGCTCACTAAACGGTGTGTTTTCGGGGTTTTGCATCCCAACTAGAGGTTGTTCCACTCTCAGATGAAAAGCTTGGACGTGAACTTTTCATGGATCTGGGCAAATCAAATCACGACCTCACGTCGTTCTCCCGAAGCCTGGAATCATGGTTAGTAAAGGGAATTACCCCAATATGGCCCAACATTTCAGGTTAGTGAATTATCATAATTTGCCCATATATGTATATATATATAATATATATATATTAGAAACCCTTTGTATCGCTCATTTGATGCCTTCTTTGGCCTATTTTAGATATATATCAAATGAAAAGGGTAACCCAGATGGATTAGTGACCTTAAAAATCACCTATTGGATGCATAGGTAAATCACATCATAGTGACCCAGATGGATTTTTAAGTCACTATCCCATGTTTATCGCCATCGTTTGATGACCCGCGTCGTTCACCCAATTTGCGAAGCCGAAAGGTGCCCTGGGCGACGTGAAACGAAGCCCCAGGCGGCTGTTGGGACCGGAGAATGGACGGCCGAGAAAATCCAATATCTTTTTGGAAGCCATAGTATATATATATACACACTTACATGTATATATGGCTACAACATATACATATTTACATGTATATTATATATACATGTATTCTGCAGGTTGTATATTCCCTTCCAACAAGTCCTTAAACACGCCAGAAACCATGTGTTATTTTTAGGAAGTAGATACATCTGTGGGACCATTTCGGGAAAGGCACCTCATGTCGTGACGTCACAGGAATGATGATTTTTCTATGGGGAATTATCCCCAAATGGCCATAGGATACTGTAACAGCCATTTTCAGGTTAGGGAATTATGACATAATTCAGGCAGATATAACGGGGATGCCCCAGCAATTTGCAATTTTAGTATATCTGAGTTGGGAATTTCATGATTTACCCATGATTTATCCATGATTCTTGGCTGCAAAATAAGTTCCAACCAACGTCTTTTTTGTCAACGCAACGCAGGTCGCAAGTCTGGCAGGTCTGGGGCCCCAGCTTAAATCACCCTTGAATTCTGAATTGCTGGCATATGTATAAAGAGATTACCCTTTGGTAAACTAACATAGCTATGGAAAATCACCATTTTAATGGGTAAATCAGCTATAAATGGCCATTTTCAATAGCAAACTGTGTGTTTACCAGAGGGTTTTTTTTCCATAAATACCACCCAAAAATGCTCAACGAAGGCCCTTTTTATGGGGGGGTGACAATATATAGATTATTAGTGGTAGTTGTAAATTCTAAAGTTGATCAATCTAAAATTCTTCATGGGTAGATGTTTGAATATTTTTGCAGATAAACCGGCCTCAAATAGAAGGTTAAAAATGTTGGGTAAAAATCAGACTGTGGGGATTTCACCCACATTTTTGTTCATTTTTGTTGGATCCAAGTAACACACATGGGGATTTTCATGAAGAATTATGGATTTGCTAGGCTAGTTACTAGCGGTGAAAAGCGGGTAAGAACAAGGTGACACAGGTGATACAGGCCAGCTCACCACATGATTATTAGACTCTAGATTAGGAGTTGGGAATCATCCCGACATTGGCTTATTATCTAGGTCAATCTTAGATGGATACTTCAATCCTTTAGTCTTTTGGTATCAATGGGAATATCTACTAACCAGCAAAGAATTTGTCATTTTTTTGCAGGGTATCTAAGATTGGCCATGTTATGGCTTATTTTAATTGGGAACCATAATATGGTATCCCTGTATATCTCCTTGGTTGGTTTTGTTTTTTACACCGTTTTTTTTGTCGGTCACCTTCAGACAAACTCCTCTGAAGTTGCCTGCAGGGTAGTGCTCCCGGGTTATGTGTCTTGCTTTGTAAACCCATCTAACTGTATACATATATATATATATATATGGATATAGATATATCAGATAATATAGATAGATAATATAGATAGATAATTAGATAATGATAGATAGATAGATAGATAGATAGATAGATAGATAGATAGATAGATAGATAGATAGATAGATAGATAGATAGATAGATAGATAGATAGATAGATATATTTGCCAATAACCCAACAGTTCACCTCCTCAGACACTAACTCCGCATCAACAATGTAAAATAATACCATTATAACTGACCTAAATGAAACTAACTAATTATCACTATACTGATCCAACGACTTCTCACATTGACTATGTTGGCAACCCCAACCTTGAGTAGTTTAGGCCTACTCCTTGAGTCGTTTGATACTTTTTGCTATAAAAATAGCACAATTGTCACCAGAAAAAATATGTGTGCGTTTTTTTTCTTGTGGGCTATCAAAGATTGGCCATAATAATGGAATCTAAGACTTATGATCACTCGATTATTAACTGCTATTGAGTAACTCTTACTCCCATTAACTTTGGATACGTTGGTGTTATTTTCGCGAGTTATTGAGATTTAAAATCTTAAAACATACCCTTTGGTAAACGTTTACATAGCGAACTGGAAAACCACCATGCTATTATATAATATGTCAACAAAATAATAACTATGGCAATTTTCTCATTTAACAAAATTTCAAGGGCAATTTTCTCATTTAACAAAACACAGCCATCAGTTATAAAAAACATCTCCCCGCCAGGCGCCAGGCGTTGTTTAAGGTGAGATCCAGCCATGAGAAAAGCCGCCGCCATCGCCAGGTGCGCGAATTAACGCCCATGGAACAGCTTCACCTCCACGGGCAGTTTCTTGGATTTCGATCCGATGGTGATTTCGATGGAATTTTCGGGAAAAACATGGTGATTTCTATGGTAAAATATAGGAAAACTATGGGAGAATATGGGAACATATGGGAAAATATGGGAAACAAATATGGGAACATATGGGAAAATGCTGCTTCTAAAAACAAACACTTGACAAATTGGATGCTTTTGAGGGATTTGTAGTGGAACAGAAACTCAAATCCACCGGATGTGTCCAGGAAATGGTGAATTCAAACGGGATTTTTCGCAGAAGGAATCATCCTCAAATGGCATGATTTTACTGGTTGATGCTTTGGAACATGAATTTTATGACTTTCCATATATTGGGAATAATAATCCTAACTGACGAACTCATATTTTTCAGAGGGGTTGAAACCACCAACCAGTTTTAATTTACCTGAAAATATGGTGATTTTGGTTGGAAAAAAAACATGGTAAAGCAGCAAATACATGTGATTCAATCAAAATCTCAAGCGGTGTTCACATATTTTTAAACCACTAGGAATATGGAGGTAAAACTGTTTAATTATGGTTGATGGATTATGAAATAAGGGTTGTGAACGTGCCTAGTTATTTAAGGGTGGTATTTATGATTTCAGCTGCTGATTTTGGTGTGGCGATTTTGGTGTGGCACAACATCCATCGCAGCTATATATGTTGACTTACACGAGCTATGTTAAAGCTCCATGTCTGGTACAATGTGAGGCCCCCCAGTGATGTTAGTTGGTTTATAAGCCCCAGTAACTATAGTTATAAGTACCATAGACCATAGTTATTGGAGTTATAAACCAACTTAGCTATCTTGGGGGCCTCACATTGTATGTTTAAACATGGGTCCGAATATAAGCAGAATTTCCGATATGTTAAGTGGCATCGCAAACTAAAACCATCATATTTTTGGGCACCAAATGTTTGCCACTTTATTCAGAGTAGTTTTCAAAGATGAATGTAGGTGTATGTAAACCGACTGAGGTTCATGGTAGCCTGAGTCAGTTTTGAACCAGAACTGGACCCATTTTGTCCAGGAAAGAGAGCCAAGAAGACCCCGTTTTCCCATCTCATTGTGCTGGTGGGTTTTTAAATACTATAATATCTGTATATAATAATAATAAATAATCATGATAATTAATAATAATAATAATAATAAATATATATATATACATATGGGTGATATCATGATATTATATATATACATATTACGGGTGATATAACCATTCACATTATTCATATCATATGTGTAACGATTAATGGATGCTGATCCCTTCTTGGTGGGTCATTCAAGAAAACTCTCCGAGGCATGGCTTCGGGGCCAACATTTTTCGTGCCTCGGGGCCGTTTCGGGGGGTCGCGGTCGCTGGATGCTGCGGAAGATCTATGGTAAGTTTATAGCTGGGTAAACCATCGATTTCTATGGATAATCTATGGATCATCTATGCTTAATGGTTAATAAATAGTTACCCGGCCTGGTAATTTAACATTTCTATGGAAAATAGCCCATTTATTTGGTTGATTTACCTCGTAAAAACGGTGATTGTCCATAGCTATGTTAAATTACCAGACGGTAAAAAGGGTGGAAGTTGCTAAGGTCTAGAATAGTTGTAATGTGGTGAAAACAATGCAAAATAAACTAGCCATGACTGGGAATGGTAAGCATACCACCCATAAAAATGGTGATGACTGGGGGATTGTAAGCATGGCATTGTTAGAACCACATTACCCTCTGGTAAACCAACATAACTATAAACAATCACCATTTTCAATGGGTAAATCGACTATAAATGGGCTATTTTCGATAGCTATGTTAGTTTACCAGAGGGTATATGTGTCTCGATCTTTTTTAGGATTGCCATATCTGGGCCAACCTTGGATGGGTCGTTTATTATTGTAGTCTTTGGCGATGGAGATACCCTCTGGTAACGTTAACATAACGAACTGGAAAATCACCATTTTGTAGCTGGGAAAATCTACGATTTTTCTATGTGCCATTTTCAATAGCGAACTGTTAAATTACCAGAGGGTATTCTATACCAACCGGCCAGTGATATGTTTCGCAGGGTGTTTAAGATTGACCATGTATTCAGAAGCCAAAGGAAGCAAACGTGGGAGTTTATGGGGGCAGATAAATTTTGGTTGTGCTGTTTAAACAGCAACTATGGTAAATCATACATTTAAGATGTCTTAAGCTTCAATCAGGATAGAACACATAATTCTGAATGTAAAAGATTGCTGGTGAATGATGACTGCACCGTTCGGTTGTGTCTAATTCCCATCCCCTTGCTGTGACCCCCCCCCAAAAAAAAAGGGGTTCCAAGAGTTAAAACTTGAAGAACAATGGCTAGTAGATTGGTTGGTGATAAAATCTGCCCTGTAACTTGAAGTTCGAATGTTCGACTTGAAATTGTGAGTAAACTGTGTTTCTTGTTTGCGAAGCAAATTTTCCAGTGACCCCTGAGTAGCAAGCAACAACCATATACAGGGCACTTGGCAAACAAGCACGACACAAATGAAACCGAAACTCTAACAACATAGACATAAATGTATATATATATATAGCCACTTCCATGCTTCTTGTCAAACTTGGATTTGTAAGCCCACTTTTGCCAATCAGTTGAGATTAATTGGAGAATTTACTGGTCCAGTGATTGGCAAATTGCTCATATATGAATCCCCGAGTGCGTGTAGAATAGCCCTATCCAATATGATTGGATTGCCCTAGTAAAACCAATTAATATCGAAAAAAACACGGGAAACCTTGGACATGTTGCCATAAATGAGGGGAAGGGTGAACCAGTTCAAAAGAATAGTAGAGTATATATATATAGGATTGGCCATTCTAGTGGTTCTATATCCCCATCTATCTATCCCCATCTATCTATATTATATATACACATATTGATTTAACCCCTTTTCATGCGTTTGTCGGTAAAAATCACACTTCATAACACCTTCGTTGCATTCAATGTGTTTGATAGCTAAGCCCATGACTTTCTGTGTTGTTCATAACCCATTATTCATATTTCAAAACGGGCCACATAGCTGGCAACTGTTTACAGATGTTTACAGTACTGTGGACAAATCACCATGAAAGTCGTAGAACGTAGATGATTCTCCGAACGGCTTCCCCAAGGGTGTTCCACATTTGTTAATGGTATATGGGTCAAAATTGTGTACCCCAATCATTGGATGGTTACCCTCCGGCAAACTAACATAACTATACAAAAAACACAATGTTTTAATATTTTTAATGGGTAAATCCACTATTTCTATGGCCATTTTCAATAGCTATGTTAGTCATAACCAGAGGGTACTAAGAATAGACATGTCAATCTGTGATCCAGGTCTTGAGCTTTGACCAAAAAATCCATTTAAGAGCCACGTTCGAATAGACAAGATTTCTGCGCGGAATTTACGCAAGGCGCTGTGCGTGCTGCAAAACGCAAAACGTAAGCAATGGCGTGTACGCATTTCCTTATTTGGTGCCAGGATTTTTGAGACATTTAAAACATGGCTCATTTGTTTGTTAGCCAAGATGATATCCCAAATGGAAACCGGGCTACCAAAAGTGATGTTTGCAAGGTTTTGGAGGGCTAACAATAGTTTAACCATGTTTGTTACCCCACAATGTCTTGATGATATCCCAAGATTTCCATTGGAAACCGGGCTACATCTTCGCGCCAATCCCAAGGTGGATTACCTCCACCACCTTCGAATCTGAAGTGGGGAACTTGGGATCAGTGCAGTGGTGAGTTGGGGCTATTTTTTTGTTAACATACTTGAGCGATGGTCCCCAATTTCTATACGAACATTGTTTCAAAACAAGGATTTCACTGGAGATGGTAGTGGTTTTAGGATTGCTAAGATTTAGAATACCATCTGGTCATTTAACATAGCTATGTTAAAAAAAAACTATATATATATATAAATGGAGGTTTATAGCTGGGAAAAAAACATCTGTAAATGGGACAAATTTTCCATAGCTAAATAACATTAAATAACCAGAGTGTAGGTCGATCACACATAGTAAGTTTTACTATCCCCAATGTCATTTATAGTTATAATATTTAAGTAACCATTAATAGGTCGTCCAACAGTTATTGTTATAAGTTTTGCCAGCATAGTAAGTTGATGTACTACCACTTATAATGTGACATTAATGTTGGCAAAACAATAATATAGCCAATTTCACCAGAAAAAAAGGTTGTATGAATCACGGTAGAAAACCATTCCCAGTCATGGGTGGTTTATGGCATTGTTTTATCCACATTGTCATCTATTCTGTGATAGTGAGTGTTATCATAGGTTTATGAACAGGGAGCAAGCCAGCCCACTTTAAATGATAGCCACAACAAGTGAACATTCGCCATTTCACCACAATATTGAAGAATTTGTTTTACCCCCCTGGTGTCCGGGGTGTTTGGAGTAACACTCAACGAACATGTTTTTGCTTTTTGATAGGAAAACTCCATCTAGAAATGATAAACGCATATTCCCTAAAAAATAGGGCCTTTTTCTAATAGGCCTTATATACGGTAGTTACCTCCAATCGGTTCCTGAAATGGCGCTTGATGATATAAACATTCAGATGATTGTTTTTTCTGGATATGGGTATGGATCAATACCTATTAATACCATTTTTTTGGGGTTATTCACATCCATTTTAACCCAGCTATTTTGATGTGAACAGAAGGGGTACTATCGGTTTTGACACACTGCCATAGTGATGAAAATCTTCGCAGCGCAGCGCAGTCTTCCTGCTTCTCGAATCCAAAAAGGAGAGCCCCGATAGCCAGAATCTGGCTACATATATATATATATATATATAACTTTGATTAACTTTGTTAACTATGACTATACCCCATCAATATACCCCCTTTATGTTAGCATATATAGCAGCACCATGGATCCTATGGGATATGACATAATATGGGGAATATTAAAAGATTAAATTCAACAGTCGCACTTCCGAGACATTGGGTCCTCGGTCCTCGCCGACTGCGACCAGAAGTATGGATCATCAGGGACCTCGTCGTCAACGACCCCGACTGCAGACACATCAAGCTCCTCATGATGAGTGGAACTGGCCTCATCAGCAGCGTCAAGACGCTCTCAGCCTACCCAGCCTACTGCGTCAACGAAGACGTGCATCTGCAGAAGGGCAGCCAGTTACCACCAATTTACTGCAGTACCATTTTGGTAGCATCATGCCTGCAAAACTGTGTCACCAATTTGCCCACTTGGACTGAAACATGAACAGAATTCATAAAAGATCCATTTGGTGTGAAAGCCTTTTCCTGGCTCCACCATACATGAGTGAGCAGTACCGACATATGCACCTTTTGCAAGAACTAATATCCATTAACTTGATGGTTCGAGGAATCCAGTTTGCATGCACTGAGACATTTAACATGTCATGGACACCAGCCATCCTGGTCCGGGTTGAATTAATCCGTCGACTTGGTTTGGCTCAAGTGTGCCTCTCACGGAAAAAGGGTTGCGACCGCGCTGCCATTTATCTTTCTTTCGTGGTCTGGGGCATACAGTCAACCTTTCTCGTATATTAAACATAATAACTTATAACTTGTTGTATTCCCTCAATTAACCAAGTTTTAATAACAAGATAGTGGCTTATGGGATTTTATGGGGAATATAACATAATGTAGCATAATATAGCTGATATGACATTGGATTGATTTGTTAATTGAGCGGTATTCAAAAATGTTCAAAATCCATTTGCTGAGTTATAACATCTCCTTCACCGTCCCATAAATTGGTTAGAATGAAGTATAGTATTTTTTCCAGTATTTTTCCAGTTGAGCAGTGTGCAAAGTCCTTCGTCATCTCTTTGTAGTGGGTCTTGACAACCAATTAATTAAAACATTATGAGTTGAACAGGGGAGCATGTGTTTGTGTTTCTATTGAAACCGTCCAAAACTTGGTTGACAGGTTTTCCCACTTCATGATGAGAGTACAAAAATCCCCAGTAAACCAGGTGGTACAAGCCCCCATAATGTGTATTGATCACCGAGCGTTTTGGTCACTGTTCAATCATAATTATCTATCATATAATGAAAAAGGAATTCCCATTGGATTGAAAAAATCTCCGAAGGATTCCAAAGGCATCCAAGTCATTGGATTGATTTAAGGGAACAAAATAGAAGGACCCCTATATTACTGTAAATCGGGTTTTCCCCAAGGTTTTTCGGTGAAGATTTTCCCTGCAACCAATCCAGTGACTAGTTGTGTGGCTGAACCTGGAAACGATGGCAGCTATCCTGGCGCCGTGTGTAGCTTTAACCTCTGAGACTTTCGAAAGTTTTTATTATATTTCTTTGTAAAGGTAAAGTGGGTAAATTTTAGTTTGACTGCTTAATCCGAGTTTAAAATCTTTAAATTTATTGCCATTGATGACATAAACTGACCATGCAGCAGCAGCTAGTATTTTTTTGCAGGGAATCTATAGGATTAATCATGTCAAGCATCCAGTTTAGGAGGAGACCAATGTTCACAAATGGTCTTAGCCGCGCCTATAACTACCACAACTACAAGTATCATCACTGTATTTGTGGCAAAAAACGATGTTTCTTGTACACACGTATAGATCACCCCAAGTATTCCCGGTTTCTGTTGTCGTTTTTGGGCAATCATGGCAATCACGGGCGCAGAAGTCACCCTGCCAGGGTTCGCATTGACATCGTGGCACCATTGGGTCTGTGGTGGGTTTGCAAGTTAGGCGCGGTGCGGCGGGGTGTGGGATGACAAAAACGCTCTGTTTGGACTGTGACCATTGAAATGTCGTGCCCCTTTTCTATCATTCCCCTGTTCAGCTCCTAAACACCCCACAGAAATCATAGTAAATGTAGGGCCGGAGATTTCATCGCATATTTACGACTCGAGGGGGTGCTTATTAGGGGGAGGGGATGACAAATAAAGCTCTATGTTTGGATGTCGTCAACATTGGACCAATCAACCCTGTTTTCTGGAAAATTCGGAGAGTTCCTTCAACTCCCCATAAAGCATTGGCTTTTTCCCTAATGCGTAGCGAAGGGTTTCCGTTTATAGTCTGGGGGTCTGGGGGCTGGACCCTTGTTCGCCTCCAGTTGCTCGTCGGGTCGCAGTGGCGTCGTCGTCGCTTCGTTTCCGCGTCGTCAATTCCGTGTCTATGGGGGAAGCTGCAAAACCTCTCTCCTTTTTGAAGGTCATCAAGCAAGTTCTCATGTTGTTTTGCGTGGGAGGCGTTGTACTTTGTGATATTCCAACCTGTTTGATAACGTATCGAAAGTATGGAGGAAGTCTCGCACAAAACGCTCGTTTTGCTGCGCCCACGTGTCTCGTCTCGAGTCTCTGGTTTCCCTCTGGCGTCGCCGTGTCTATGGGGGAAGCTGCAAAACCGTGTCTCGTCTCGAAGTTCTGCTTTTCCTGTGTCTATGTGGGAAGCTGCAAAGCTTCGCTTGTTTTGCTGGGCCCACGTCGCCTTGTCTATGGGGGAAGCTGCAAAACTTCAGTCTCTGCTTTTCCTTTGGCGTCGCAGTGTCTTCGGGGGAAGCTGCAAAACATCGCTCGTTTTGCTGCACTCACGTCGCCGTGTCTATGTGGGAAGCTGCAAAACCTCAGTCTTTGCTTGTCCTCTGGTGTCGCCGTGTCTTTGGGGGAAGCTGCAAAATATCGCTCGTTTTGCTGTGGCCACGGCGCCGTGTCTACAAGGAAGCTGCAGAGCCTCAGTCTCTGCTTTTTGTCTGGCGTGGCTGTGTCTATGGGGGAAGCTTCAAAATATCGCTCGTTTTGCTCTGCCCGTCGCCGTGTCTTTGGGGGAAGCTGCAAAACCTCAGTCTCTGCTTGTCCTCTGGCGTCGCCGTGTCTATGAGGGAAGCTGCAAAACATCGCTCGTTTTGCTGTGCCCACGTCGCCGTGTCTTTGGGGGAAGCTGCAAGACCTCAGTCTCTGCTTTTCCTCTGGCGTCGCCGTGTCTATGGAGGAAGCTGCAGAACCTCGCTCGTTTGTAGTACAAAGTAGTACTGGGAACGACTTTGTGCAAGCCTTGTACAAAGTAGTACTGGGAAGTACTTTGTGCAAGCTTTATAGTACAAAGTAGTACTGGGAAGTAGTTTCTGCCAGCTTTGTAGTACACAGTGGTACTGGGAAGTGCTTTGTGCAAGCTTTGTAGTACAAAGTAGTACTGGGACGTGCTTTGTGCAAGCCTTGTAGTACAAAGTAGTACTGGGAAGTAGTTTGTGCAAGCTGTGTAAGTACAAAGTAGTACTGGGACGTAGTTTGTGCAAGCTTTGTAGTACAAAGTAGTACTGGGAAGTGCTTTGTGCAAAGCTTTGTAGTACAACGTCGTACTGGGACGTAGTTTGTGAAAGCTTTTTAGTACAAAGTAGTACTGGGAAGTAGTTTCTGCCAGCTTTGTAGTACACAGTGGTACTGGGAAGTGCTTTGTACAAGCTTTGTAGTACAATGTAGTACTGGGAAGTGCTTTGTGCAAGCTTTGTAGTACAAAGTAGTACTGGGAAGTGCTTTGCGCAAGCTTTGTAGTACAATGTAGTACTGGGAAGTACTTTGTACAAGCTTTGTAGTACAATGTAGTACTGGGAAGTGCTTTGTGCAAGCTTTGTAGTACAAAGTAGTACTGGAAAGTGCTTTGCGCAAGCTTTGTAGTACAATGTAGTACTGGGACGTGCTTTGTGCAAGCTTTTTAGTACAAAGTAGTACTGGGAAGTAGTTTGTGCAAGCTGTGTAAGTACAAAGTAGTACTGGGACGTAGTTTGTGCAAGCTTTGTAGTACAAAGTAGTACTGGGAAGTGCTTTGTGCAAAGCTTTGTAGTACAACGTCGTACTGGGAACGACTGTGTGCAAGCTTTGTAGTACACAGTAGTACTGGGAAGTAGTTTGTGCAAACTTTGTGTAAAGTAAGGGGTGTGGAGTGTAAAGTGTGGAGTGGGGAGTTTAGAGTGCGCAAAGTGTAGAGTGTGGAATGTGGAGTGTAGATTGTAAAGTGTAGAGTGTAAAGTGTAGAGTGTGGAGTGTAAAGTGTAGAGTGTGGAGTGTGGAGTGTGAAGTAGAAAGTGTAGAGTGTGGAGTGTGGAGTGTAAAGTAAGGAGTGTGGAGTGTAAAGTGTGGCGTGTGGAGTATAAAGTGTGGAGTGTAGTGTGTGTAGAGTGTAAAGTGTAGAGTGTAGTGTGTGTAGAGTGTAAAGTGTAAAGTGTAGAGTGTAAAGTGTAAAGTGTAGAGTGTAAAGTGGGGCGTTGTGGAGTGTGGAGTGTGGAGTGTAAAGTGTGTGGAGTGAGGAGTGAAGAGCGTGGAGTGTAAAGTGTGGCGTGTGCAGTGTGCAGTGGTTAAAGTGTGGAGTGTGGAGTGTAGAGTGTGGAATGTGGAGTGTAAAGTGTAGAGTGTGGAGTGTAAAGTGTGGAGTGAGGAGTGTAAAGTGGGTAAAGAGTAGAGTGTAAAGTGTGGAGTTTGGAGTATAACGTGTGGAGTGTGGAGTGAGGAGTGTGAAGTGCAAAGTGTAAAGTGTAAAGTGTGGAGTGTAAAGTGTGGAGTGAGGAGTGTAAAGTTTAAAGTGTGGAGCGCAGTGTGGAGTGCAAACTTTGCCTAAAGTGTTGAGTGTGGAGTGTAAAGTGTGTAGTGGGGAGTGTAGAGTCTTTAAAGTGTAGAGTGTGGAGTGTGGAGTGTAGAGTGTAAAGTGTGGAGTGAGGAGTGTAAAGTGCCAAGTGTAAAGTGTGGAGTGTGGAATGTGAAGTGGAAAGTGTAGAGTGTCGAGTGTGGAGTGCGGAGTGTAGAGTAAGGAGTGTGGAGTGTAAAGTGTGGCGTGTGGAGTGTAAAGCGTGGAGTGTGAAATTGAGGAGTGTGGTGTGTGTAGAGTGTAGAGTGTAGACTGTAGAGTGTGGCGTAGTGTGGTGGAGTGAGGTGGAGTGTGGAGTGTGGAGTGTGGAGTGTAGTGTGTGGAGTGTGGAGTGAGGAGTGAAGAGTGTGGAGTGTAAAGTGTAGAGTGCGGAGTGCGGAGTGTAAAGTGTAGAGTGCAGAGTGTGGAGTGTAAAGTGTGGAGTGTGGAGTTTAAAGTGTGGAGTGAGGAGTGTAAAGTGCAAACTGTAAAGTGTGGAGTGTAAAGCGTAGAGTGTGGAGTGAGGAGTGTAAAGTGTGGACTGTGGAGTGAGGAGTGTAAAGGTTAAAGTGTAAAGTGTGGAGTGTGGAGTGTAGTAAAGTGTAGAGTGAGAAGTGTGGAGTGGAAAGTGTCGAGTGTGGAGTGCAGAGTGTAAAGTGTAGAGTGTAGAGTGTGGAGTGTAAAGTGTGGAGTGTGGAGTGTAAAGTGTAAAGTGTGGAGTGAGGAGTGTGATGTGTTGAGAGTGTAGAGTGTGGAGTGAGGCGTCTGGAGTGTGGAGTGTAGTGTGTGGAGTGAGGAGTGAGGAGTGTGGAGTGTAAAGTGTGGAGTGTGGAGTGTAAAGTGTAGAGTATAAAGTGTAGAGTGTGGAGTGTAAAGTGTAGAGTGTGGAGTGTGAAGAGGAAAGTGTAGAGTGTGGAGTGTGGAGTGTGAAGTTTAAAGTGTAGAGTGTGGAGTGTGGAGTGGAAATGTCGAGTGCAGAGTGTAAAGTGTAGAGTGTAGAGTGTGGAGTGTAAAGTGTGGAGTGTGGAGTGTAAAGTGTGGAGTGTGGAGTGAGGAGTGTGGTGTGTGTAGAGTGTAGAGTGTGCAGTGGGTAAACTCTGCAGGGTGTGGCAGGTGGGGGTGATCTCGTTGTGCTGGTGATTTCGTTGTACTGGTGATTTCGTAGTTCTGGTGATTTTGTTGCGCTGGTGCTGTTCGCTGGTGCGTTCGTTGTGCTGGTGATTTCGTTGCTCTGGTGATGTTGTTGTGTTGTGGTGATTCTGTTGCGCTGGTGATTTCGTTGTGATTTCATTGCGCTGGTGATGTTGTTGTGCTGGTGGTGATGTTGTTGTGCTGGTGGTGATGTTGTTGTGTTGGTTAGTTGTCTCTTTGTGAACTGTTGATCAGGTGCCTTCGCTGAGACGATATGCGCGCACGATGCATGAAAAAAAAGGTTCATTTTCCGATTGCAGAGGCTTTCGCTCATAGTCCAAGAACGTGAACACATTCGGGTTCGTGGCTTCCATCTTGTTCCTGGCGAAACAGTAGTTTGATGATGACGTCATTTCTTGCTGTATTCCTCAAGTTTTCTTATTTTCTTGGACGGCGCCTTGGGGATGAGATCAAATCTTCAGCAGCAACCTTCAGTGAGGCACCACATTGATTGTATCATGATATCCTGCCTTAGTGCCTTAAAAACTCCACCTCTCCAACCGCCTGCGCATCTGAGATGACCTGAGTAAACCTTTGTTTGATGGTTTTTGATGGTTTTCGTTCATGTTTAAGGTTCATTTCTAGCTATTAGCTATTACATACTCTTGCATCATGTTAACTGAATTCTTACATTACATGTTGTTTTTTCTTGGGATATACGGCATCTTTTCAAACAAACCTAAACCCCCAAACAATGGGAAACTCCACCATTTATGGTTCATTTTCCTTGGAAAACTCATGAGAAATTCCATCCAGGCAAAGTTGCTGACGAGAGCAGCTGGACAGTGCCTTGATTCACGAAGCTCGATGCCGCGACCATGGATCCGATCACGGTAACGACTAACGACATTTAAATATGTGGAGGGCGGGCCAGACCGTGAGGCCCCGGAGGTAGTATGAAATACCAGTTCGTATATTTAAATGTAGTTAGCGTATTTTTAATTGAATTGGATTCCGTATGTTTAAATGGCCGGGCGGGCCAGCGGCCAAGGAAAACCTTCCCGGAGGTAGCCTAAAATTTGTATATTTAAAAGTCCGTATATTGAAAGGTAGTTACCGTAGGTAAATCCATGGGATGATTCACGTTAATCCCAGATTTTGTTCGCAGCTCTCTTCGTGAGATGATGCAATTGGTATTTTCATGTAACATGATGTTCCCGTTATGATTGGCTAATTGGATATGACTTTACCAACACGTTCATGACTTCATGACTGGTTGGTGGTTTGGAACATGTTTTTTTTTCCATTCAGTTGGGGATGTCATCATCCCAACTGACGAAGTCCATCGTTTTTCAGAGGGGTAGGTGGAAACAACTAACCAGTTAACCATTATCAACCACGAAAAACACACTATTAACCACCATTAAACCACTATGAACCACTTATAAACCACTATAAACCCATTATTTCGACTATAGTGGTGCCATTAACCACCATTAAAGCACCATTCGCCACCAACCAGTCATGGCTCATTTATTCCACATCCCTCTCTTTCTAAGAGTCCAGATGATGTGTCGAAAGTTGGACTGTCCCGATATATCCAGTTTTTTGGGTTCCTTGGCAGTGACAGTATATATATATATATATAGACAATCCTTGGGCACAAAAAAAATGGTTAACTTAGTTAATGTCAATTGATATACATATCAATTAACTTAGTTAATGTCAATTGATATACATATCAATGTCAATTGACATTGACTTAGTTAACTTAGCAACTTTGATGAATGGCATTGTCAATGGCGGAGACGCATGGACGCTGAATGGGATTGAAGAGCTGAGCACGTGGCTGACAAGTTATGCAATTGAGAGCTCGCTCTTGCTGACATGCCTGGCTGAAGCAGCACCAGTCATGAAGGTCTTTCACCGCGTCCAGGACTTGCCTAATGACCGCACATTGTCTCAAGAGATTGCGAAGCAGGATCCGTCTCTTGAATGGCCGTACAACGCGCCGTGCCCGTCAAACTTGCGGCTGCGTGCAGTCCGGCAAATCGACGATCTACATCGAACCGCAGTTGTCCAAGGCATAGATGTCTCAAATTCACCTGTATCTAAAGCTGTTAGCTCTCCGCATTGCGCTGATGCCATTCACCGGTTTATGCGCGAAGCGTATATTGGTGCAGTGGAACATTGCCAATCACTGCTTTTACCCGTGGTCCATTGTTTTGATTGACTTTATCTCGAGGTTGGGTTTTGTTTCTCCCCTTTTTAGCCAAGATATGGGTTTTGGACGACTAATACATCGATGTCATCGCTACCTGAAAGATTTAATTTCTGAGTCTGAGGCATTGCCGGGCATTAACACTTCAGTTACTAGTATCAACAATACGTTAGGCTCTTCCTTTGGGTTACGGTGTCAGGTAGCTCTAGGCATATCTAGGCATCCGCCTTGTCCCTCTCAATCCCACCAGTGTCTGGTCCATATATGTACAAACTTGCCTCTATTGTTCCAGCTCTTTTCTTGACGGCAAGAAATTCCGCGACATCGCTGGAAACCAGAAAATGGGGGTGCTGACAAACACACGGATGTGAGCTGCTGTCGCGAATTGCATGTGTTTGATAGTTTTGTTTGAGTGCCTGTAAGGCTTTAAATAGCAGTGGAAAAAAATTAACTTAGCAACTAGCAACTTAGTTAATGTTGGTTAATGTCAATTTCACATACCAACCCTATGATCCCTTGGTTTAGCCTGGTTTCTGGAAACTGACCCTGGTCATCTTGATCTGTGGCTCAAATCTATCGAGAAAAGAGCAGCTAGGCTGGCAGTGATTTGTTCAGCATTAAAGCATAGCAAGCTAATCTTGCTCACATATAGATATGTTTCCGAAGTCATGGGGGTACCCCCAGTCATCCATCTATAGATGGATTTTCCATTATAAACTATGAAAAACATTGGGCTACCCACATTTATGGAAACCCTCATATACATACAGATATAAATGTACTTAGACAGTACACCCTTCAAGTACCTGGGAAAAGTGGAGAAAAAAAAACATTGGGTCTACCACCCCATTTTCCTAGGTACTTAGAGGGTCAAAGGAATGAAACATCATCATCACCCAGATGCTCCATGGTGCTGGTATATTTACCAACATTTGCCCCATATATGACCCATACATGGAGCATCTGGGTCATGGACTTGCTGATGATTTTGTTTTTCCCATTGGTTAATGACTAACATAGCTATTGACAATTGTCATTTATAGTTGATCTATACATAGTAAATTTGCTGATTTTCCATAGTTATCGAAACGTTTACCACAATGTGAGACCCCCCAGTTATAAGATGTTATAAGTTGGTCTAAAAGCCCCAGTAAGTCTAGTTAAGTACCATAAAGTTAAATTGGAGTTATGTTCACCAACTTAGCTATCGAACGGGGGCCTCACATTGTAACATGTTTCACCTTTTATGGTCCCATTCAGCAAACCCGCCCGTTATATCTCCATGCTCCAAGGTTGCCCTGGACGCGGGACGGCAGCCGGTGCGCTTGCTGCTGGTGGATAGCATCTCTGATAACAGCCCCTTGACGCTGACCGGTTTCAGACTTCAGAGGCTGAAATAGGATGAACTATGATCTGGTTGGTGGTTTGGAACATTTTTCATTTTTCCATATGTTGGGAATAATCATCCCAACTGACTAGTATTTTTCAGAGGCGTTGAAACCACCAACCAGGATTTGTTTTGGCTTTCATAGAGGTTTAATGAGGTAGAGCCTAGGGTGAATTATTGGGTACACATTTTTATGTATAGCCTGTATAGCCCTGTTTGGGATGATGTCAGACGACTTCAGATAACCCCTCCGCCGGTGAATGGGATGGTTGTTGAATGCAGGAAAACCAAAAAAAACATGTTATGTCAGTTCTTGCCCAAAAAAAAACTGGTTTCCTCCTGTTGATATATTCTTGTTTTTATCACTTGGTGAAAAAAGATGAGCATTTTAAACAGGAACAACATTAACTGACATCATTTATCGGATGTTTCCTGTAAATGTTCCTTTCAATCCATTTTTTAGCCCCAGCAACAAGGATGGCCGTTTGTAGCTGGGGATGGTTTACCCAGGCTTTGTTCATGGGTTTTTGACGATGGAGAACTATGGCTCTCTGGTTGGTGGTTTGGTTACCCTCTGGTAAACCTTTACAAACTAGACGAACTGGAAAGATCCACCATGTTTAATGGGAAAACTCACTATAGAACTGTGGATAAACTGGTTGGTGGTTTGGAACATGCTTTGTATTTTTCCATTCAGTTGGGAATGTCATTATCCCAACTGACGAACTCCATCATTTTTCAGAGGGATAGGGCTCAACCACCAACCAGTTAACCATTATCAGCCACTATAAACCACTAGAAACCACTATAAAAACTATGGATAACTATGGTTCTATATATTCTATGATCCACTTATTAGTGCAACTGCACCAAGTGAAGATGGTGTTGCAATTAGTTGATGGGCAAGAAGCTTCCAAGCAGTCAGTTTTATGGTTGGATCCAGCCACAAGTTTTTGCGCATGCAACTGCAAAGAAGTAGGGTTATAGCCTCTGGTTATTTAACATAGCCATGGTATAGATGGCCTATTTATAGATGGTTTACCTATTAAAAATGGTGGATCGTTCCATGGCTATGTTAAATAGCCAGATGGTATAGCTAATATAAACTGACAAACCAGCGAAGGACAGTTTACCAGTTTAGCTATAGATTGGGAAATAATTCCTAGCCTAGTTTTGTTCTTTTCTTGCAGGGCATCCAAATTAAAGGTACCAAAATCAATCTTGAGGGTAGGAGATCAATTGTGATTTTGAATCAACATAACATACAACTAAGTCCACAACGTGGTGCCCCATAGTTAGCTAAGTTTGTTTATACCTAGGTTAACTAGGTTTTTGATGACTATAACTCTATTTAGAAGGGTAATAAGCCAACTTCTAAATGGGACGCTAGTAGTACCTTCCGCTTTCCCTTTGCATTACTCGAGGAAACGTACCATAGTTTGGTTCCAGTTATCATTTGTTCCATGGTCAAAACCTGTTTATTTTTCCCATAAAATGGGATCATGATCCGCCAGTGGGGCTTGCTTCGTATACCCCATTCATTTGCCGGGAATGCATCCGATTCCTGATGATCATACCCATATGCCATTTGCCGGGTACATGTATCATTACTCTTGTATCCATTTACGTATTCCATTTAAGTATTCCCATGTTTTGCCAACAGAAAGCCACAGATAATCCATCTTAGATCCTCCAAATACCTGGACAGCTCTACTTGGGCACCTTGGGACCCAAATAGCCGGCCTTCTTGGACTGACCTGTGACACATTGGTATACCTTGGTTATATCCCGTTAAGGATTCGTTAATGTATTTAATACTGGTTGGTGGTTTGGAACATTTTTTATGTGTCCATATGTTGGGAATAATGTTCCCAATTGACTAATATTTTTCAGAGGGGTTGAAACAACCAAGAAGAATAATGTATATCCCTATATCCCAATGTATCACTACAAACTAGTTGAGTTGATCCCCAACTGTTCGTCCCCAGTTCCTTTATAAAACCAACACAGTGATGCGGATTGATCGCAATGTTTGACGATTTAATCTCCCAGTTCATGGTTATAAGTTATAAGCCATGGCAATCCATTAAGAATCCACTATAACAAGCCTTTTCAACATTTTTAATGAATCACCCATTATTCATGAATATTGACAATCCATTATAACAATCCATTATAACAATCCATTGACAATCCATTATTAATATTGAATCATCCATTTTCATCAACGGTCGGGTTGTCTTGCTTTTGGATGCTCAGGCGTCTTTGGCACCCTGGAAGTGCCACGCACTTTTTCAACAACGAGTCGCCCTGTGGCTGTGCTACTGGCGCGGAGCGAGGTGGTGGACCGGTGGACCGCGCACTGTGGCGTTGAAGGGGGAAAAACCATGGATAGTGATGGTGATGCAAGGGGATTTTGAAGGGGATTTATTGGGAGTTAACAACCCTGCATGAGGATTTAATTTAATGGGTCTCACTATCAAAATTAAGAAAAAAAACAAGTGGTGGTTAACCATTAAACTATGTCGGATATTTCAAGGAGATATGAATGACTGTACTGGGAAAATCATGTAAGCATCATGTAAATGAGGAAGGGGGCCCTTAGTTAGATCACGTAGATTACAACTAGGTTAATTCTTGGGTTTATGGGGGATATATCATGACATACCCTTTGGTAAACTAACATAGCGATTGAAAATGGTCCATTTATAGTTGATTTACCTATTAAAAATGGTGATTTTCCATAGTTATGTAAACTTTTACCAGAGGGTACCTGTAGTGGAAAGCCGGGTTATAAATCGGGTTTGCCGCAGGTGGCCTTTCAACATGGCCCAGCTCAAGGCTTCGGGTTGGGCAAAAGGGCGGGTGTTGGTGTTGACTCATGGCATGGTAGGGGGTTGATAGGAAAATCTTGGAGTTTTTTGCATGAAATTTGGGATTTCATGGGATTTTGATTCACTGAATATGGCGAAGTTGGTCAAGTTTTATGGATTTAACCATCCAAAATACGTCTAAGGTGAGGCAAGGGGACTTAATGGAATTTAGTGGGGCTTTAACGCACCTAAATACGGATTTAACGGGATTATCCATCAACACTGGGAAACACACATGGCAACTAACTATGAATATGATGTGGATATAATAGGGATATAAATGGATTGAATGAGACTGAACCAACTCAAATAAGGATTTAGCGGGAATCTACTGCCAAAAAAATGGATCTAAACTAATCATGCTTGTGACACAATGGGATAGAGTGGGATTTAACCAGTAAGGCTCGTGATTTATCCAGTGAACAAGTTAATTTAACCAAAAACTAGGATTACCCTCTGGTAAACTAACATAGCTATTGAAAATGGCCCATTTATAGTGGATTTACCCATCAAAAATTGTGATTTTCCATAGCTATGTTAGTTTACCAGAGGGTATTTTTTTTCCATGTATGAATTATATAATCCTAGTTTTTGGCTAAACCAGTTGATGATTGTCCATTGTATTTCATCCATAGGATGTTTAATGGGATATTTACCAGTTGTATGATATACCCATCAAGGGGGAGACATATTTTTTGGGAAACACACTTTACTGCAATGCCCAATGTGGATCAAAGAAATCCTAGTCGAGATCTATTACTTCATTATGTTTGATCCACGCATTTTTCACACTTAGAATATTGTTGTTTTCAGCAAACAAAAATAGAACAGTACTCAGTATATTCCCACTATATCCCTATGATGTTTACTTCACATTTTTGGGGGTCAAACCCCCATGACAACCTTGCCATATCACTGGTAAACTTTTTTGAATCCACTGGTGATGTCCATTGAGTCATGGAAGGATTGACCCATAGGAGTTACAGATTGCTAGAAAAAACAACAACTAGTACAATGAGATAGGTTAGGGGTATGTTTAATGACTTAGGTCAAAGTATATATATATATATATTTATACATACATGTGTTTTTGTTTTAAATACACATATATATATAATATATATATGTGTATAGTGTACACATGTAGCAACCCCAAAAGAGATAGTTCTACGTATTTCATCACTACTTTTCAATAGGATTCCACTGTTCGGTCTTTTTGGGGTATAGCCATGTACAAAGTCCGCTGCAGCCGTGAAGTAGTCATGGATGGATTGATTGGGTTGGCCACAAACACTTAGTTTTTTCACCTTGAGATTAGTGGGTACAGTAAGTTAGCCCCTTTCTGGAAAAACAATGATTTTAAATGTAATGCCTTGAGATAGAAGGCTGCGATCCTCTGTCACCACCTGTGGCAGCACTTCTTTATAACCATTGGCTGTGGAAACCTGAAAAAACGATTTAACAACTTTCAGCTTGACTTAGATGGCGCAGTTGTTTTACAAGAGAACAGGCTTGATGTTGAATCTTTAAGGATGTTTTTGTTTTTTCAACCCTGAAAGACCCGTTTGACTGTTTGAAAAGTGAGATCCGAGGCAGCGTATCGATGGAGGATGGATGGAACGTTTGAGCAGCGGATGATGCTATTGTTGAAGCCGACTTGATCCCGGATAGCGCGGCAGTCTTCACCACTCTCCCAGAGAAACCGTGGCACTGACCCAGATGCTGAACATGTCAGCAAGGTTCGCTGCGGCCGAACTTCGTCAAGGAATTTTGTTGGGATACAAAGTTAGATTCCGCACTCGAGCCATGCTGACATATAGCTGGTAAAAGGATGTAAAAGGATGATAGGATAAGTTATAAATGAAGAACCATTACGTTATATCTCTATAATGAATGGTGTTCATACTTTTGGCCCTTTACCATTCATATAGTAATGGCCATAACATTTGTCCTGCCCAAACTTACAGCGCACTTGCGGGTTGAACCAAGCATCAACTGGTGAAACAAAGCATGGATAGAATGGGACCAACACAAGTATTGGACACCATTTGAACCAAATCATCCGGAATCAATGGTTTTATACCTGGTTGGTGGTTTGGAACATGTTTTATTTTTCCATACATTGGGAAGAATACTCCCAACTGACGAACTCATATTTTTCAGAGGTATACCACCAAGCAGCACTGGTTTTATCCTGTTTTACCCTCTGGTAAACTAACATAGCTATGCAAAATGGCCCATAGAAATAGATGGTCTACCTATTGCAAAATGGTGATTTTCTATAGCTATGTTAAATTTCCAGAGGATAACCAAAATCACTACACTCCAGTAATCAAACGTGGCTAAAAACAATACCTCGTCACCAACACAAATCAACACACGTAATTAATGGGAATCATCCGGAAACATCCTGGGTTTATACTCAACTATAAACCACTATTAACCACCATTAAACCACTATAAACCACCAACCAGATACTCAAGATGCCCCTGCTAAATTGGTCCTTGGTCCGCAGATTTCTGAGGCGCTTCTGGTGCAGAGTTTGGGGCCTGAACATGGGGGGCCCTTGGGATGGGACTGGGAGATTTCTCGAAAATCCTGGTGCTTTTTTAGGGGTTCCTACAATGTGGTGCCCCAGTTCGGAATCGCTAAGTTGGGTTGATGAAAAGAACTCCAATAACTGTGGTTTATGGTGCATATATATATATATATATTATCTATAGTTAATCGGGTTTATAAATCAACTTGTAAGTGGGGGTACCACCTTGTATGGGTTCCTGAAGCAAATCCCAATTTGTTTGGACTTGAGATGCGACAAAGCATGTCATTTTGAAATGTAAAAGCCAAGAAAACTAATTACACCATTGTTTGTTTGATCCTAAGAATAGATGTTATCAGTTTGATCATGTTTGATCTTGCATTGGGTTCATGTTTTTCTGATCCTAACGTAAAACCCAAGAATTCAGGGACCTCATAACCCCACAAGTCAACTTCTTCCAATAATTACAAACAGTGTTTTTTCAGCGGTACTGGGAAGGCAGGACAGACAAAAAACATGGCGGAGGATAGTGTGCGACACAGTTGTATGTTAAAGTGTTATGTGTGAAAGAGTTGTGTGTGAAAGAGTTGTGTGTGAAAGAGTTGTGTTTTTTTGAGTTGACGAAGGTGCATGTTAAAAAGTTGTGTGCGAAAGTGCTGCATGTGGAAGGGATGTGTGTGAAGGAAAAAGTTCTGCGTTCAAGAGCAGTCAGTGGAAGAGTCATGTGTGAAAGGTGTGTCATGAGGAAGAGATGTGAGTGCGTGTGTGTGTGAAAGAGATTTATGTCAAAGAGGTGTGCTTGACAGGGTTGTGCGCGGCAGAGATGTACCTAGAAGAGCTGTGTGCGAAAGAAAGGTGTGTGAGATTGTTGTGCGTGACTGTGCCAACGCCTGCCACAGAAAAGCAGCATCGATGTCACCAAGTGCCACGCCAAAGTGCCACGCCTGCCACGCAAAAGAGCCGCGGCGCCACACAGAGCAAGGCGCCACCAGAGCCAACCCAGTGCCGTCAGTGCCACCCTGCCGCACAAAGAGACCGTCGATGGCACCAAGTGCCACGCCTGCCACACACAGTGACCATCGATGGCACCAAATGCCATGCCTGCCAACTGCCACGCTTGTCACACAAACTGAATAGTAGCGGTAGCAGAGACTTGTGTGTGTGTGTGACAAAGTTGTATGTGAAAGAGTTGTGTGTGACCAAGTTGTGTGTGTGTGACAAAGTTTTGTGCGTGGAAGAGTTGTGTGTGAAAGAGTTTGGTGTGAATGAGTTGTGTGTGACAAAGTTGTGTGAAAGAGTTGTGTGTGTGTGACAAAGCTGTGTGTAGAAGAGTTGTGTGCGACAAAGTTGTATGTGAAAGAGTTGTGTGTGTGTGTGACCAAGTTGTGTGTGTGTGACCAAGTTGTGTGTGTGTGACAAAGTTTTGTGCGTGGAAGAGGTGTGTGTGGGAAAGAGTTTGGTGTGAATGAGTTGTGTGTGACAAAGTTGTGTGAAAGAGTCGTGTGTGTGTGTGACGAAGCTGTGTGTAGAAGAGTTGTGTTCGACAAAGTTGTGTGGGAAATATTTGTGTGTAAAAGAGTTGTGTGTGTGTGTGAAAGAGTTGTGTGTGTGTGAAGGAGTTGTGTGTGTGTGACCAAGTTGTGTGTGTGTGACAAAGTTTTGTGCGTGGAAGAGTTGTGTGTGAAAGAGTTGTGTGTGTGACCAAGTTGTGTGTGTGTGTGACCAAGTTGTGTGTGTGTGACAAAGTTTTGTTCGTGGAAGAGGTGTGTGTGTGTGAAAGAGTTTGGTGTGAATGAGTTGTGTGTGACAAAGTTGTGTGAAAGAGTTGTGTGTGTGTGTGACAAAGCTGTGTGTAGAAGAGTTGTGTGCGACAAAGTTGTATGTGAAAGAGTTGTGTGTGTGTGACCAAGTTGTGTGTGTGTGACCAAGTTGTGTGTGTGTGACAAAGTTTTGTGCGTGGAAGAGGTGTGTGTGTGTGAAAGAGTTTGGTGTGAATGAGTTGTGTGTGACAAAGTTGTGTGAAAGAGTCGTGTGTGTGTGACGAAGCTGTGTGTAGAAGAGTTGTGTTCGACAAAGTTGTGTGGGAAATATTTGTGTGTAAAAGAGTTGTGTGTGTGTGAAAGAGTTGTGTGTGTGAAGGAGTTGTGTGTGTGTGACCAAGTTGTGTGTGTGTGACAAAGTTTTGTGCGTGGAAGAGTTGTGTGCTCACCAAATGTCATGCGCGTGGTTCAATGTAGTGGGTTTAGATTAGTCATGGTGTTTTTTTTGGGGTTCTGTATTTGGATCATTATTTCTCAAAAAATGTTTCAAGAAAATAACAGCACAAACATGCAAAAAAACAACAAAAGAGTCGTGTGTGTGTGTGTGAAGTGAAAGACTCGTGTGTAACAAAATTGTGTGAAGAAAGAGTTGTGCGTGACGTGGGTGACGCCCAGACAAAAGGCCGCGGGACGCACGCAGGCGGGAGTGCACCACAGAAAAAACAAGAACCCCACACAATGATGTGGGGAAAAACTAGAATGACCTGAAATTGAATATACAAACCCTGGGAAGTTGGTTTACGATATGCTCTCAGGGGTATCAGCGAGTATTGAAATTAAATATTGTGGATCTGCTGATACTTGTATCTAGGATTATGTTCTTGATTTTTGAATTATTAGTTTCATGAACTTCAACCCTGGTGGTAACCAGCTGGCTCAACGCATGGATCCTCCCAGATCCGCTCGGCAGCAGCGGTTCTCAAGAACCATGCACGGTCCTATATGAAGCAAGCTCGCAAGGCCGGCATGTCGCTGCTTCAGCGTCTGGAACGGACGCTCACTATGCATTCAACTGCGCTGTGCAGAATCTTACGCCCAAATGCATGCACTGGATCACGGTGCTTGGCAACATTGTCCTGCCTTCTGTGAAGCGTACCAAGGAAGAAATCCGGACCGGCAAGGTCCGGCAGTTCAAAGCCAGGATGTGCTTGATTGCACATGAGCCAGGCCAAATGGCCACGTTGGTCGTTGATGACCACGTGCTCTTCTGGTTTCGCAACCCGTTCTACCGGGCAAACCAGTTCGCCGCATTCTGGTTTCGCAACCCGTTCTACCGGGCAAACCAGTTCGCCGCATTCTGGTTTCGCAACCCGTTCTACCGGGCAAACCAGTTCGCCGCATTTGCGATACTTCGCAGATATTCGCAATATCCCAAACATTTGATACACCACTGGGCCTTCCATGTATGGGTCAAAACGTAAGTGGTTGGCTGATTCATATCCTTACAGGATGGGGCCCCCAAGAAAGCTAAGTTGCCTTATAAGTGGTTTAACTCTGGTTTATGGCGGATATACCCTCTGGTTATTTAACATAGCCATGGAAAATGGTCCATTTATAGATGGTTTACCTATTAAAAATGGTGATTTTCCATGGCTATGTTTGTCATAACCAGATGGTAACTATAGTTAACGGAACAAAATGATACAAACATATTGAAATACCCTCTGGTCATTTAACATGGCTATTGAAAATCACATTTTGAATGGGAAAATTCACTGTAAATGGTGATTTTCCATAGTTATGTTAAATAACCAGAGGGTAGTTGAAAATGTTGCCAGTTTGATTGACATTAACTATTCTTCACCCGAACTTCCAAGTTAAACACATGTTTGTTTTCACCTGTGAATGTGAAACCTCCGGAACAATGGCAAAGAAAATTGATGATTTACCTATTGAACTTGGGGATTTTCCATAGCTACGCTAAATCACCAGAAAGTATGTTGGTTCTCTGGATGGATTTTGTGAATCTCCATTGGGGCTGGCCCATTTTACCACAAAACCCAGCACTTGATGATCACTTTGCCCATCACAGTGTTTGATTTGATGCATTGCCACAAAATGGAAAAACATACCAGACTAGTAGGTGGTGCATGACGTATGCATATATATATATATATTTGGTACCCCCCCAAAAAAATACCTTTTTACTATTGTTCTTGGTATTTACGTTGTTTTTTTGCATATTTTGGGTGATTTGTTTTACGTTTTTTCCCAAAAGCATCTTCGATGCTTGGGTTCTCGTTTAGTTGTTTAACCGCGTGGGGGAGCGACCTGGCTCGAACGGTGGTGTGCGGACAGCGTGGGTGCAAGGGAAAGGAAAGGAAAGGAAAGGAAGGGAAAGGAAAGGAAAGGAAAGGAAAGGAAGGGAAAGGAAGGGAAAGGAAGGGAAAGGAAGGGAAAGGAAGGGAAAGGAAGGGAAAGGAAGGGAAAGGAAGGGAAAGGAAGGGAAAGGATGGGAAAGGAAGGGACAGGAAGGGAAAGGAAGGGACAGGAAGGGAAAGGAAGGGAAAGGAAGGGAAAGGAAGGGAAAGGAAGGGAAACGAAGGGAAAGGAAGGGAAAGGAAGGAAAAAGGAAGGAAAAAGGAAGGGAAACGAAAGGAAAGGAAGGGAAAGGAAGGAAAAAGGAAGGAAAAAGAAGGGAAAGGAAGGGAAAGGAAGGGAAAGGAAGGGAAAGGAAGGGAAAGGAAGGGACAGGAAGGGAAAGGAAGGGAAAGGAAGGGAAAGGAAGGGAAACGAAGGAAAAAGGAAGGGAAAAGGAAGGAAAAAGGAAGGAAAAAGGAAGGGAAAGGAAGGGAAAAGGAAGGGAAAGGAAGGGAAAAGGAAAGGGAAAGGAAGGGAAAGGAAGGGAAAGGAAGGGAAAGGAAGGGAAAGGATGGGAAAGGAAGGGAAAGGAAGGGAAAGGATGGGAAAGGAACGGAAAAAGATGGGGAGAAGAAGCCGCTGGTGATGAGCGACCTTGGCTGCGCGGACGGCTGCGGACGGCAAATGGGTGCGGAGAACTGCGCGGACGGCTGCGGACGGCGTGGGTGCAAGGGGGTGGCTGGAAATGGGTGGGGAGAAGAAGCCGCTGGTGATGAGCGACCTTGGCTGCGCGGACGCCTGCGGACGGCAAATGGGTGCGGAGAACTGCGCGGATGGCTGCGGACGGCGTGGGTGCAACGGAGTGGCTGGAAATGGGTGCTTAGATGATCTGCTTCTTTGCTAAGGGCTTAAGAAGTTTATTCACATTATCTAAACCCATGCTAAGAGTCTGTTAAATGCCTGTTAAAGCATTGCTAAGTATCTACTAAAGTTCCTAAAAGCTTATAAGCAAGTAAGATGATTAAGTAATCTTTAGCTAATTATGATAAAGCAACATAATTTTGCTAAACATTAGACATGGCTTAGCTAAGAATTAGCTAATTTCACAACATGGACATGATCAATATTCTCACGAACTTTTTCTTTGTCCAATGTTGTTTTTAAAACAAAATTTTGAAAAGTTCCACAGCCCAGGTTTGTATGTTTTCTGGCACATTGATATCTCTTGATTGAAATTTGCAGACAACTTTTTCATATTTTTCAAGCCTGCTGCAAGCACATTTGCAATGCATCAGATCTCCACAGCTGCCAGCACCAGTGTGGCACTTGCCATGCAATACCTGTAGCATCCAGTGCTACAGGCAACTTTTCCATCCACCAATCACCCAATGCCATATAGCTGCATTGGTTTATTGACAGCACCCAGCGCTACCTATATATAGGCACCCGGTGCAACCCAGCATCCAGTGCTACCCAGCAGCCAGTGCTATATATCCAGCACCCAGTGCTATACCCAGCACCCAGTGCTATATACCCAGCACCCAGTGCTATCCAGCATTAAGTTGAATTTGCTTGCCACAGCTTGAATTGTTTGGAAAAAGAGCATGTGTGGATCTGTGAATTCCTGCAGACAAGTGTGCCCAGCTTCCAGAAGCCTGTACAATGTGAATGTCAAAGGCAAGAAACAAAAAAAACAGAAATGGAAAGAACAAGTGAACACAAATTCCACGAAGACCAATGTTGGACAACATGAGTCCAAGAACAGCAGCTTCCCTGTGCAGCCACCTGTTATATAGCCATGGACCCCCATGTGGTGGCTGAGCTTACCAAGCTGAAGGATGACAAGCAACTGCCCATCAACACCAAATGGGCCAAGTTGAAGGAAACCATGGTCCAAGCAGGTTTGGCATGGCCAAGGACAGAGGTCCCCAGCCAAGTGTTGTGCCACCCAAAGAATAGAGCAGGCATCATGCTCAATGCATGGGATGTGCATGCCAAGGGTGCCAAGATGCTTGAATTGGGTATTGCCATGAACAAGATCCAAGAAAGTGTTGCCTTTGAGGTGTCGACCAAAGGCAGCACCAAGCAGCAACAGCTCCAGGCCAACATTCAACTAGTGGAGTCCTCCCACAACCAACTGGCACCAGTAACTGGCCAAGAGAGATTGCTCAGCTGCTCCAGCAGCCATTTAGTCGCCTTCTGCAGAGCAGTTCTCCATGGGTGCCAAACCCAGGAGCCAAGTCTCAAGGCCAAAACCAATGGCCAGTTGAGTTTGGCTGCTTTGGCCAACAGCCAAGATGGTTTGGTGACCATGTGTGAGCAAGGGTGGACATGGTTGGTGGTGTCCAGTCTGGTTGAAGAGGCCTTCCCAGACCTGCCAACTTTGGTCCAACAGGCCTTGAACACCACTCAGGCAGTCAGCCAAGGCCAAGGCGAATGTGAGACCATGCTCACCATTGCCACCCACTACCAGCATGGCCAAGACAGCAATGGCTCAGGAGACATGGCCCAAGCCATTCAACTGGCAGCCAGCAGCCAGCCAGAGGGAAGCAACTACATGCAGACCATGGGCTACTATGTCCAAAACTTCAGTGGTGGTGTTGGCTGGCCATTGCTCCACCTGCTCCAGCACATCAGCAGCTGGGCTTCATTAGCTGCCAACATCTGTTTGGGTTTCTGACATTGTTGTGTTTGTTGCCCCATGACACCCTGTACTCAGGCAAGCAGTTCAGCACCACTTTGAAGCTGGGGGAAGAGTATTTCTCCACAGTGGCCTACCTGGACTTCAAGGAGAAAAGCTCCAGCATGCCCTGGGTGCGGGCTGCACTCTTGGCAGCCAATTTGTCTGCACCAAGGTCAATTGATGGCATTGCCAAATGTTTGACCAAGGCAGACTGTGAAAAATTGAAGTCCAAGCACCAAAAGGCTCTGGTCATTCAATGTGAATCCATGTTGGCCATGAACTAGGCCACTTTGCAAGGCAAGCCATGGAAAGACACACCCAAGGCTTACAACTTGATGGGCAGGTGCATGGTCAGGATGGCATTGCATATTGCCAAGAAGGAAACCAAAGGGAGAGACACCAAAAACTACGAGTCTTTAGCTGAAATTTCCACTTTGTTTTCTGAAGAGCTGTTGGAAGTGGAAGCAGCACCTGGGGCCCCATCTGTGGAGCCAGCTTCTTCCAGCCACCAACAGCCTATGCCCCAGCCAGATACACTCCAGGCCTGGGAATCTGTATGCATGTGCCCACAACATATGTTTGTGTGTGGCTTGGATTTTTAATTGTGGTTTAATTGTCCTCCATTGCTACCCATTGCCAGGATGCTGCAGACCCAGCCAAGCTGGCCATGAAGACTTACAGAGTGGAGCCAGGTTGCCATTACACTTACAAAGCCAAAGATTCCAAAATTGCTGACCCAAGAGTTTGGAAGCTCCAGCATGTTGGCCCAGACAAATCCAATTTTGAGCACCAGCCATTGATTGGGCCAGCAGTTGGCTTGGAAGTGGAGAATGAAGACCTGAAGAGATTTAGAAAGTTTGACAGGGACCTCCCAGTGTTGGTTCCAACTGCAACACTGGAGAAGCTACACCCAAGCCAAAGTGAGCAGCTGCTGAAGGAAGCCATGAAGGCAGAGGCCCAGCAAATCCTGTGCCAACACTACCAGGAGTATCTTGGTTGCAACTCATTGTGCTATGTGCAACAAATTCACACAAGATTTGCAAATTTGCCACCCACACTTAAACCAGCTGTGTTTGCAGGAAAGTGAAGCTGGACGCAGATTCTTTGCTGGTGGCCCAGAACTTCAATGGCATCCTGGCCAACAAGAGCTTTGGCAAGGGCAAGCTTGTGCTGTTTCCAGTTGGCCCTGTGGCTGTGGTGAAGGAGGTGAAGGCCTCCATGCTCACCATGACCAGCCCCTTGGGCCAAGAGTTGCAAATTTTGGCACCCAAGTTGGACCCCAAGGAAGGCACAGGTTGCCTGGTTCCATACTTCCATGTGAGGCCAACCCCTGAGCAGTCTTTGGCCAACATGGAGCCTTTTGTTGCCAAATCCTCCAATTGGCAAATCCCTGGCTACAAGAATTCCACCAAGATTGACATTGGGGACCAGCTGCTGTTTTACAAAGACAAAGACAAGGAAAAGGATAAGAAGGAAGAGGAAGCCACAGTGTCACCACCAGCCAAGAGGGCAAAAGCAGGAAGGACTTAGTGTGGTTTCACCCAAAGTAGCTCCACTGGAGGTGTTGAGCTTTGTTTTTGCCAATCAAATGGCTGCCACACACCAGGAGTAGGTTTTGGTGCTTGGCAAAAGGTGTGCTTGACATAGTGGCTGTGTTGCATCATTGTGGACCATGCATGAAAGGACTACAATACAAGCATATGCTGCAGCCAAATGATTCATGTGGCTACATGGGGTGGGCAATGTTTTCAGCACCCAGTGCTTTCTTTACATATGTGGAAGGCCAACCATAGAGCACTGTGTGCTTTTCATGTTCAAGGCTTAGTCAGCAGTGCCTTTTCCTGCTTGTGCCACAAGCACCTAGCCATGGTGACAATCAGCAAGCAATATTGCCTGGCTTTCCAGCAATCCAAAAAGGTCATGATCCCACCAGAGTTGGTGGCACAGCATGGAGGGAAAGACTATTTGAAGATCAGGCCAAGCTATTACAAGATCATCCAAATTGTATGTGGTGTGGCAGCACCCAAAAAAAATGCCAGCCTCACAGACAGCACACAGTTGGCTTCTTTGAAAGCCAAAAGACAGGAAGCATTGGCCAAAGAATTGGAAGAAACCCAAACAGAAGGAGATAGCATGGGCTTGGAACAGCCAAAGAAGAAGATGAGAGCCAATGTGAAAGACCAAGTTGTCCACATTGATGTAGAGGGCCACAGTGTACCCATTTTTTGCTCTGGTGGATCTATTCAGGCAGACCTCCAACCAGAAATGACACCAGAGGCACTTGGTCCCATTTTCACTGTGCTGCAAGAGGGCCTCCAGGGAGAAGCCACCACCAAGGAGAAGAAGGCAAGGTGCAACCAATGATTATGGGAAACATGAGACATGTACCAAAAAAGAAAAAGACAAAGACACTCACACATATTGAGCTACAATGTTTATTTCATAAGACAATGGAGCAAAGTATGCCCATGTGTTTCTGTGGCATTGTTGCCCACTGGTCAGGACTGAGTTGGGCCAAGGTGCTGGGACCATAGACTGTTTTGCCACAGCTGACCAAAAAGGAAAGTTTGTGCTGTTCATGGCATGCAGATTTGCAATGGCCAACCATCAAGGACCATGTTTGCATCTCAGCAGCTGCATGTGTTTGGAAACCTTGCTTCAGATGTGTTTCAATACCATCACCAAATAAGGACATAGATAATCACCAGCACCCAGTGCTTTCCATCATCATGGCTTTGTTCATGCTAGGGGTACCCAATGCTTGATATAATTTCTTTGTTCACATAATGAGCACCCAGTGCTTCATATTATTGATAAAAAGCACCCAGTGCTTGCTATTCCAAAGAATTTCTTCACCTATTACCTTATAATCCATCAACACCACATGTAACATTCTCGAGGCCATGGGCTCAAAGTAGCTTTTGCCACTTGGTAGCCAACCACAACCATGCCCAACACAGAAGAGGAGCCAATAGTATACAGCCATTGGATACCAATATGTTTTATCCCACCAATGCATGCAAATTCATTGCTGCTGAGCAGGAGACAGGCTTGGACGAGATTCTGGTCAATGCCATCAGTTTGGATGAGCAATTGGCCAGGCAGCATGCCTTGGCCATGGCTGAGACCCAGACTGAGCCACCCAGTCCACCACCAGTGGATGATGAGGGCATGACAGAGGCACCACAGCCACTTTACATCACTTTTTTTGCTTCTTTGTCTTGGATGCAGGTCACCATTGCCAAGTCCAAGCATCCTGACAGTTTTGGACGCTCCAAGGCATATGAGGGTTTCATTATTTTTCAAATTGATGCAGCAGCCAAGTGTAGCATATCTCATTTATGTGTGTTCTCAGGCCATTGGTGTGGGACCAAGACAACACAAGCCAGACAAGGACTTCTGATGCCATTTATCAAGGTCAAGTGCAAAAGAAAATTGAATCCATGGCATCCAAGCAAATTTGCAGGAACTCAGGAGTGCCAAAAGGAAGCAAGCCATGGTGGCCCAAGCTGGTGAGGACAGGGTCAGAGAGAGACATCTCAGCCCAGCTAATGGCACATAATTACCCAGTGTGTCTTTCCACTTTCATTCTTGACACTGAACAGGATCCCAGGTTGAAAAAACCAAAGGATGAAGTGGAGTTCGTGGAGGCCAGACTGTGGCCCATTTGACCAATCACATGTAAATTTTGGTTTGGCACAGTTTTTCCATGTTACCAGGAGCCAGTTGCAGAGCCAGCTGCCTCCACTTTCAGTGCCAGCAGGCCTTCCAGGCCAGCAGAGGACAATGAGGCTTTGCTCAAAGCACTCCAAAAGGTTTTGGAGCCACTGGGTGGCTTCACCACCAAACCAGCACCTCCACCCAATGCCACAGTGGCAGCACCTGCAGCCAAGGCCAGCATGGCAGCACCTGCAGGCAAGGCCACCCAGCCACCACCTGAAGGCAAGACCAGCAAGCCACCACCTGCAGGCAAGGCCATGGCCCTTGCACCACCACCACTTAAACCCATGGTGGCAACCAGCAAGGGCATGCCAGCCAAGGCCATGAAAGCCAAGGCCATGGAGCCCAAGGCAGCCCAGGCCATGGAAGCCATGCCAGCCAACCTCAAGGCAGCCCAGTCTATGGAAGCCATGCCAGCCAAGGCCATGGAACCCAAGCCAAATGTGCCCCAAGTGATCCCTCCAAGGGACAGAGCCAGTGAGCCAACTCCAAGGGAGAAGGCAGGTCCCAGAAGGGCACCACCACCAGGCAGAGAAAGCCAAGGATGGATGAACAAATGGATCCATCTGGCAGGCCATCTCCACAGGGGTGACATGGCCAGTGCCAGGGCACATGTTGCCAAGTGGTCTCCCAGGACCAATGGCCAATATGAAAACCATTTGGCCAGGACAGCAGCCAACAATGGCATAGACCCAGAAATGTGACCACCAGCACAAGCTTCCAGGAGGAAAAAAGATGCCAGGCCCTGCAATACACTCAAAGTCTCATTGATTGCATTGCACACATGCAGGATTCCATGCTGTTTGCATCTTGTAGCACCCAGTGCTTTTGACCAAGGTAATATATGATCTTTTAATCATAGCTTATTGATTATATATGTCATGGCTTTTTCATGGGACCCCATACCCAAATTCCTATAGATATACAATAATAAGCAGCACCCAGTGCTTTATAATGCCATGGTGAGAGCACCCAGTGCTTTGTATGAATTTGGGTAGCACCCTGTGCTTATGTGGTACCTGAGCAGCATCCAGTGATTCTATATGCATTCACCATTTTCTTTTGGGTGGAACCAAATACATTGGGGAACCTTATGTAAGTAAGTCAACACAAGAACCAACTTGAAGCCACCATAGGCAAAATGCTTACATGTAAAGTCTAATAACCACACACATTGGAGCCACAGAGTTGTTTGCAAAATTGTCACTTGACTTCAGTTTTCTTTTGATTAGCATCACCAGACCTTTTTTATGGCTTCTTACTTGTAAACATTTAAACAAAACAATCTTTGCACCATATGTCTATTGATAATCTAAAGACAAACTGTCTTTGAAGGGGGCTCAAACACCATGAGTACTGTCTTAGCTCCAAAACTGTAAGCAGTTTCAGCTTCCCTAACAAAATTACCCTTTGGGATTTCAGCCTTGTCATTCATGCTCATACTACCAATTGGTTTCTTTGATAAGTAAAAAACACATCAATGACATGTTTGGAAGGTGGATCTAAATTAGCATAAACACTTGCCAGCTAGTCCTGGGCACCAGTGATGACCGAAAGACAAACAACACGTATTAGGTATCAAACATTCAACCTGATAAAATCAGGAATGATTTCATGAGGGAAAGAGCAATGATGAATTATTATACTACATCATTGATGATGAGATTTCATGATACATTATTATATCATGTCTTCTAACACAAGTCTTTCAAAAAGAAGTGTGTTCATAAATATTTCTTTGTGCAATTTACAAACTTAACATACATAATGTGAAATAAAATATATTTGAAAAACACTATAGAATTCTAAACTGTTTTTTCTCAAAATCAACAAAAACAGTTTAGAGCTCTAAACTGTTTTTCCCCAAATCAACAAAACAGTTTAGAGCTCTAAACTGTTTTTCCCAAAACCAACAAAACAGTTTAGAGCTCTAAACTGTTTTTCTCAAAATCAACAAAAACAGTTTAGAGCTCTAAACTGTTTTCTCAAAATCAACAAAAACAGTTTAGAGCTCTAAACTGTTTTTCTCAAAATCAACAAAAACAGTTTAGAGCTCTAAACTATTTTTTCAAAATCAACAAAAACAGTTTAGATCTCTAAACTGTTTTTTCAAAATCAACAGAAACAGTTTAGATTGGAGAATGTTCAGATTGGAACTATCAAATGGAAATATTCAAAACAATATTTTCACTTGATATCAAACTTGTGTATGTAAACAATTGGCATATTACATTTTCATGTTTTGAAAACTAAATATTTTTCTTAATGTTTTTGTTTCTAATTCATTTTTTTGCAGGTTTGGCTCCACAGTGACATTTAGGTATCCACTGCATCCATGCCACCTAGAAGAAGAGCAAGAGGAGAAGTACCATTGATTGTGGACTACACTTACACCATCTATGACAGCCACCAGTACTTTGTGATCTACTTTGACAATGGATGGAAACAATGGTATCTTGGATGTTAATTGAAGACACCAATAGAACATGCTACATATTGCAATCATTTGCCAACACTAACTAAGGTATGAGCCACCAAGAGAAGACCCAGAAACCTATGGAACCATGTGGGAATATGATCGCAGGGTGGTCCTGTACCCAGATAGAGCCAACAATGTCAGGACTGTCACTTCCACTGTTGTTATATGTGTTTTTGCTTTATATTTCTCATAACCTGCCAGGATCTCCAGAAGGGCTTTGTCCACAGCACTCTATGGCAGGGAGCCATATTCCATGCACCAATGGTTGGTGGACAGATGGTTTGCCAGAGAGCCAAGAACCTAGTCTGCATTACCATGGAAAATCCACAAC